TCCCAGAGTCATACCTAAAGTGTTAATTTTGGGACAGTTTCATACATTCGTTAGTCAAACTATTAAGTCTCCCGTTAACTAATGACGTAGCGCCCATGTGGACAATGACTGTGCACCACGTGTTATTAAGAGGTCCACATGGAAATTAAAAATTCAAAAAAAAAAAAAAATTGGTCATCTTCTACCTCCCCCAACATCTTATTCCTCCCTTATCCCTCCATTCTCTCCCCTGCACCAACCCACCAAACCTTCCACTCCTATCCTCTTCAACTCGTCATACATCTACCCTTCCCCCTCCATCTTCTACTCCACCCATCCAACCCACCAAACCCTAATCTGCATTATGCCCACTCTAGCCGCTCGCCCTTTCCTACCCCAAAACCATCATTTGTATTTTCTTAATCCCAATTTCCTAATCATCTCAAAATTCTCACATCAATTCATCTCCTAATTTCAATAATTTGTAATAATCCCCAAATTTAACCGCAGATCGTACAACGTTGTTCAGGTCGTGAAACCTTCTCAAGAAACCCTTCCTCTTCCTCGACAGCCTCACCGTTCAATTCGCCGACGCCCAAGACAGAGACGGGGACCAATTCGGCGTCCTCTTCGACCCCCTTGGCATCTCGACGGCTTGGAGGAGCCCGTCATACGATCTGATGGGCAAGCTCAAGCAGGTCGAGCGCGAACTCAGGCCAATGGTGCCGGCGCTGGTGGTGAGCGCAAAGATAAGCAGAGAAGGAGAAAAGAAAGAGGGGTTGGTCACCGGATTGGATGGGAGGGTTCTAAAGAAAGCTAAGAGGGGAGCGGCGCCGGCGAAGGAAGAGGAAGGGAGATCGTGGCATTATGCTCTTCTGTGTTAGGAGAATAAGAAGAAACATAGAGGAAGAAGACGTCCAGGGAAGTAGAAGAGGACCAAAAATTTTCTTTGAATTTTTAATTTCCACATGACCCCTTAATGACACGTGACGCCTAGTCATTGTTCATATGGGCACCACATCGTCATTTAACGGGAGACTTAACAGTTGGACTAACAGATGTATTAGACTGTTCCAAAATTAACACTTTAGGTATGATACTCTGGGACGAAAAAAATTTGATGTACCAGATGTTAAAAACCACGAAACATGAGGGTAGTAAACTAATATTTACCCTATAATCTATTATTGATATGATCATAAATATGTTTTATGTTTGTATACTCATTTAGTTATTGGAATTTTGTTTATTGATTAATTGATATATGTTTTTTGTGTTTTTTTGTTAATGTGTGTAGTGTAAAGATAAGAAATATGGAAAGGTTTTTCAAGCCAAAGAGCATATATGCAAATGGAACATTTTTAGACTATGAAATATCATCGTAGACGCTTGAATTAGAATTTTATAACTTGTAATGTTGTTTGCGTATGATTCATAAATGAAATGTATTATAATTTAACTTTTAAATGCTATTTTTATCTATAAACTTTTCTACCTTTATTATTGGGATCCCTTGAGTTTAAAATTATGGATCCCCCATTGGTTATGGGTATGGGTATGCCTGCAAATACCCAACAGGTAAACAATTATGCGAGTAAGAACTTAAACGGTTATAAGTAAATAATCGTGGTTACCTGCCCACCATAACCGTTGCCCATCCCTAATTATGACCAGTGCTTCATGCAATATGGCCACTATAGAGACACTCACATATATCAACAGCTCATCATAGTGTACGTATGTAAAGAAGGAGATGAGAGCTAGAACTCATCCTTTGGTGGTTATAGTGTAGTGAGGTTTTATTGTGTTCGGAATCTGTATGAGATCAAAAGGAGAGATAGATCTCGTGTATTAGTAATTGTTTGTGTTTTGAGGAAAATGTGAATGAATTAAAAACCTATTTTTTATCAATACCGGCTTGTAACTGAAGAAGTGCAATGTTAGAATTGCCACTTTTTTTTGTACCACATGTCAATTAATATCAGGTACAAATGATGTCTCAATGGTGATAAAGTATTTGAAGATAGTCTTTGTGATCAAAAGTTAAGACTCAAACGTGAAGACCGTTTTGTTAGATGCAGGGATAAATTGTCCAGCCCCACTCTATCTTCTGTTTACCTCCTCCTCTCTTCGTCTCTCTTCACTCTCTAATTGTAGATTCACATTCTCCTCTCCTCTCTCTTCAAATATTTTTTTTAAACAATTATAGCAATTATGTTCAGTCCCATTTTTGCAGCTCCTGCGCTATACAGAAATGTTTAACTCACTCCATGCATGAAAAAAACTTGCTGATAGTAGAGGTGATTAGATTGATCCATTGACCTCTATTTACAAATTCTTCAATCTGTTATCGAGGCATGCTGAGACCTAGCTAGACAATAGAGACAAATTAATTGTAGAAATCCAACTCTTGGTTTTGCCGAAGATGCTGCCAATGGAATAAGAGATTGCAGACAACCTAACTGAGGAATCAGCCTTGAGAATGTGAGAGAAGGGAGGGTCGTTGGGAGAGAAGACATGAGATTGACCATGAATGACGGTTCGTTGACGACGGGTTTGAGAAGATAGAAAGCCAGCGTTGAGGAAGATCAGAGAGAGGAAGGGGTTGGACATTTTTATCCTGACATCTAATGAAGAGTTAACAAAAATCTCACTTTTGGATTAAATTTGCTAACAATTTTTATCACGGGGATTTAAATTCTAATTTTTTAACTGCGAGGCTATCATCTGAATATATTATCACTACGAAGACCATTAGTCCAATTTTGCCCTAATTTATTATGGAATAGTTCACTTTACACACAACAATGAAATGATAATAGTTTGTAGGTTGTGAATCTTAAAAGCTTCGAACACTACTTAGTTACTTACAATTAAGCAAAACTTTAATGAAAAAAATCTAAAAGATCATACACGCTCGTTAAACTTTGATTTGCTTACTAAGTGTGCATTCCCTTTGAGCTTGAAGTTCTACATGTGAAACTTTGATTTGTTTACAAAGAGTGCATTCTCTTTGAGCTTGAAGTTGTACTTGTAGAACTAAAATTATACAATACATGTATGAGATACACTAAATATTTTACCGTAGATTTGATGCATTACAGAGTCAATGTGCTGTAGAACGACTCTCTAAAATTAGGAAACAACATCATGGCCACTTTAGGTTGTTTTATAGGGCATGAAAAGTGACTGGGACGCGCTGTTCAATTGCGTGGACCATGTGATGATGTGTTTTTTGGATGGTTAAATCAAAGTCGTGATCAGAGAATGAAAATAAGCAAAATCATGTTGCGAATAAGATACGGCTCCAGGTTCTCCTTGTACGTACGCTAAAATTTACACTCCCAATGTACAACCCCTTACTTACAACTAAATTAATTAATTAATTATTTTTATGGCAAAGATACATCTACAGGAATTAGCTTATCAACTCCCTGAACAATACTATAAGAATCGTTACGGGACATCCCCCCTATAATTGTGCATGCTCTCATAGCAATAACATATTTTGGTTCAGGCATTAGTTCATATAATCATACTAAAGAAGGAGCCATTTTTATTGTTACTGTGTCTGCTATTAAAATTAGGTATGCTTGTCTAGGATTGGATTGTGGTACCAGTCATAGTGATCAAAGTCGAATCGTGAGCCTATTAATGAAGCAACAACTAGTACCATAGAGAAGCAACCATGAATTGAAGAGTCTTGATCAATTTAAAAGAGCACTTGATGTGGTTGAAATAACTGAATTTTGAGTTGTTCAATCACGTAAAAGGAAGTTGTAATTGTCTCAATCTTTTATTATTGTTTGATGACTATTCAATTTAACACAATAACATATTTATACAAGTCACACTAGATAGCCTATTTATTTGAATCATATATATTTTGAAGAACACATTATGTGAAAGTTGATGGTTAAATTCCTTATTTTAAGTCAAGAATGTATCAATTATCAATAGTCAAATCATGTGATTTATAAAATATTATTTAAAAACACAATCTTCCTAATATTTTTCTATTTAATATTAAGTATTGAAAGATTTGGACAAGGACACATGATAATTCAAGTATAACCATTCAATATTGAACTTGCCATTATCAAAATTTCAACACAAAATTTATCACACAATTGGAGAAAAATATCATTAACTTCAGTGTTAAGTGCCTAATCAACTAATTGTGCTTTTAAATTTAGTGAGAGGACCATATGGAATGCTAGTTGACTTTTTGACTTCTCTACAACTAAATCTACATACATACATTTGTTCACAAAAATTCTAGTTTAAAAAAATTTCTACATACATACATCATGCATGATATAGCCTCATAATGTTTTTAACATGATTTACTTTAAATTATACTAAAAGGAGGAGACTTTGAACTCGGTTAGCTCAAAAAAGAAAAAGACGACTCTAACCACACACAACAATTTGTCACTTAGAATTTTGTTTTGGTGGAATTTTTTTACACTTATAAGTAAAATATTTTAGATTCGATTTTCGGTTAAGGCGAATTTGAATCACATTATTGCTAATTCATTATGAGCTTAGCTTGTCATTGACCCTTTAGTATAGCTAATTTCGTTTGTTAAAAAATAAAAAAAAATTACATAGCAATTTACCTATCATCTCTTAAAGATAAAGGATAATACCACTGGAAATGGATCATCTCTGGATCCCTTTTACCAAATCTACCCAATTAATCAATTCGGACCTTTGAAATTTGATTTAATAGCTACAAACAGAGGGCTCCCTTAAAAGTTATAATAACTTTAGCCGTTGGATCAAATTTCAAAGACCCGTATTAAGTGATTGAATAGTAACAGTTGAATCAAATTTTAACAACTCGTATTAAGTGATAGGATAGAATTAGTAGAATGGATCCGCCCTTTCCAATACCACTTAACCAAAATACAAAAAGTCATTAGCACCATAAGTTATTTTGCTATGATTATTGACCAACTTTCAACCTAATTAATTATTAAATTAACTTATAATGTTGAATGTGTGCGCTCTCTCTGGCCTCACACTCCCACTTTCCATCCCTATAATTATAAAGCCGGAAGCTCTCTCGTCTTTGTGTCTTTCCCTAAGCAGATAGCTAACCCTAATCTCATCCTTCCCTCCCTCTCGGTGGAAACGCAACAATGATGGAGGAGCTGTACGGCCTCGGGGGCCCATCGTCAACGCCTTCAGCTGGTTTCAGCTCTGATCAATACTACTCTTCATCAATGGCTGCTATGCCTTTTCCGGCGAATCAGACGGTTCTTGATCAACAGGTGGACTACTACGACAACTACAGGAGTAGGAGCGCTAGCTTTGAGCCTTTAGCTGCGGCTCTGGGGGAGCAGCGGTTACCCGGGACGGTGAGGCCCGACCAGATGTTTTCAGGGTCGTCGTCCGGAGTGTCAGACGCTGCTTCGGTGGTGGCAGCTGGGATTCAAAGAGAAGGAGGAGGAGCTTGGGGAGAAGAGGTTTCTTGTCATATGAATATTGAGAAGATCGCTTCACATCCTCTATACCCTAAGCTTATTCAAGCTTACATCGATTGCCAAAAGGTGGAGTACTAGTACTCTATAGTTAGTAACCCTAACACATCTAACTTTATTGTTCTGAAAATTGAAAATTGCAAACGAAACGAAAAGAATACCAAGAAATAATGATGTTATAAGTGTTAGTCTCGCTAAGAACCGTAAGCAAATAATTTTTGAGTTTTCAGACAAGAACATACAAAATCTGAAAGTAAAATGATTATCAAACGTTTTCTAATCTAATCTTCAACAAATTCAAATATTTGATAATTATATGTAAACATTTAGGTAGTAATTAAGTGCCTTAATTTTTTGCTTTGGATTCTCTTAAGTTGCTTAATTATATTGTTTGTGTTTGTGTTTAATTTGGCCGAATAACAATATTAAATGTGTGTAGGTGGGAGCGCCACCAGAAATAGCAAGTGTGTTGGACGAAATCCGGCGACAAAGTGATCATCTAATTTCCACGAGACCCACCGCTTCAACTTGCATTTCTACTGCCGATCCTGACCTCGATCTCTTCATGGTATCTCTCTCTCTCCCTCTCTCTCTCTCTCTCTCTTTCTCTCTTCAAACTCTGTGAATGATGAAATCTCTTTTGTTTTTTGCCTAGCTAATTCTCTCTCTCTCTCTCTCTCTCTCTCGCTCTCGCTCTCTCCTCTCCTCTCTCCCTCTCCCTCTCCTCTCCTCTCCTCTCCTCTCCTCTCCTCTCTCTCGCTCTCGCTCTCTCTCTCTCTCTCTCTCTCTCCCTCTCTCTCTCTCTCTCTTCAAACTCTGAATGATGAAATCTCCTTTGTTTTTTGCCTAGCTAATTCTCTCTCTCTCTCTCTCTCTCTCTCTCTAATTTCTTAGGAAAGTTACTGCGAAATATTGTTCAAGTTCAGATCGGATCTTACGAGGCCATTTGATGAAGCAATCACCTTCTTGAACAAGATGGAGACGCAGCTCAACACTCTCGCCAATAATACCAGTACTCCTTCTTAAACTTTCTCTCTCTTTAATTAACCCAAATCCTTGTTTTCTTTATGCGATTTGTTTAGCTATAGGCGCACGTTGGCGCTTTGCACCTTTTAAGTACAAGGGCACAAATTAACTCAAAGCTAAGCCATTTAGGAGAAGGAAGAGAGCAGTACTGTAATTTTTTATGTGACTATCTTACAAATTTAAGCAGATGAATTAAGAAACCCTAGAATAGATAAAAGAGACCCAAAAATAGATCATAAACAGTGTCATGTGAAGGTATTTTCAAGTCTAGCAGCTGCCTATGGTCCTGGCTAGGTAATTGAGTGACTGTCACAAAGGATAAAATAAAAATGGAGCTTTAATTTGGTTTATTTATAGGTAATTTGTATTGGCCTGTGATTAGATTACTTGTGTTGGTATCTACGCATACCTGTAAAAAAAGTTTTTTTTCACCATTTCTGTGTTCTTCAATGTTTTTTACTTTTTAATACGTGTATTGTGGGCGTAAAGTCGGTCGTTATTTGATCCAACTTACAGAGATGCTAACATGAATTGATTGACCAGTTTCTAAGGCAGTGTTTAGAGGGGAAAAATCTAATGTAAGCTGGTTCCTTGCCACACGTGTGTAATCTAATCGGAGACAACTAATGTATGCGTCTAGTAGGATTGGCCTAATTTTCCTTGTGGTAATGACTCTTGCTTTTTGCATTTATACTGAACTTGCATTTATTGAAATGGTCAATATTGATTGTAGGTATGTTAAAATTAAATCTTCAATGAAGTTATTTGGATATGATCCATAGAGCATGAGTTTTGGTGCGTGCCATGTGAGGGAATTAATAACTTTACCTTGGTAAAGGTATTATACTTGATCAAATTCTTCCGTATATCCAAATAAAGAGTACTTAGAAGAATGATTAAGAATAACTGCTGGCGGTTTCAATTGTATAAAATACAATCCAAGCTGAAATAGACCACTTTTCTTCTAATCATCCACATGATGAAGACACGGAGATTCCTAATATGGAATCCTGTGACGAACACCAGTTTAATATACATATATCATGGCAGGAGAAGTACACTTAGTTGCATTTCCAAAATATTATGTCTGCCTAGGGGACCGACCTTGTATTCCTTTAATTAGTGTTGATATCCTACTTTTGAGGTTGTTCATATACTTATATAATGGCTGAATCCATGAGATTCGTACTTGCAACAGATCGATTTTGTCGCAGAAATTGTTAGTTTAGCATTACCTTTTGTGCTTAAGGCAACAAGTTTACAGATATAGTATGACAATCTCTTTTTTTTTTTGCACCACTTTAAAAGAAAGCTTCTTTCATGGGATGTTATATAGATTCTGTTGGGGACCATTGGTGTGGAACTTGGTTGTTACTACTTAATTGGTTTAGGCATGCAATAAAACTATAGGCATTCAAAAGAGTTCATCACCTTTAAGGCACCTGGCTACTGAGTTTGAAAGGTTCTATTACCTAATGTGCCAGCAGTGTGCTCTTTTCTCTTAATGACATGCTTGAGCAGATTCTTTTTGAATTTTCAAATACTATACCTCGAGGATGCCTTAGATATACATGCAGTCTTTAAGATCGATCGAATGAAATTGGCATGTGCTATTTCTTGTTAATGGTTAAGAGCTGTTGAAGCTTTTCACAAGTATGTTTTGGGTGCTCTCTGCCGGCAGATTAACGTTTCTTTATTAGCTGTTCATGATTAAAATTTGAAAGTCTTAAATCATATCTAGTAAGTTTTATCTCTATAATTTCGAACGGAAATGTTATTAACACTCTAGAATGATCGTCTCATTCCTACCTCATTTGTTTTTTCACTTACTATTTTGTAGTGCGAATAACAATTTCTTTTACAAAATAATTTCAAATTTTAGCTACTCCTTGTCCTATAAGAAGTAGCTCTTATTGGCTAAATATAGGTCAGACGTTTTATTTTTTTGGTAGCATTTGGAAAATGTGTCTTTGAAATGTGATGTGGTTTGAATTGAACCCTAATGTACTTGGGAGGTAATAGGTTTGGTCTTTTGTTCAAATACGTCAAAGATACGTAATCCATGTTCCTTCATTGTAACCTCTAGCTATAACACTAGGTTTTGCCGTAACTGCTATGTCATTTAGGGCTAGATATAGGTGTAGTACTCAAATGAATTAAAATATGGATGTTAAACTTAAAACTTGCATGCAAATAGTAAGTGATTAAGCATAGTTTTTAGTTTATTGAAAATTGGTGCTTAGGCATCAGGATTACGTTTTAATCACTAGGTATTCTTTCAACCTCTGTTTTTCTACCTACTTAAGTTTGAACTGTAACTGTGTCTGTGACTGTCCTATATCTGCATATCCATTATCATTTCTTTGTTTCTAAAGCAAATCAATCAAGTAAAATTTGTAATACAAACATTATATGCAGACAGAGAAGCGCCCAGCGTTTTCTTAATATTGTGTTCGAGTCCGCTCCACAACATGATTTCATGATCAGAACCATTAAAGTTTAGGAAAACTAATGAAAAGTGTTTGAAAATTTTGAGTTTTTATAATAAGAATAAAATAAATGGTAAAGTGAATAGTATTATGATTGATTTTTTAATATAAAAATATGAATTTTCGTTAAAATGAATCATGAATGTTTCGTTAAAACTTCCTTAAAGCTTTAGATTAACCTTTTTCAAGTAGGTTCAGCAATATTTCTCTATCTTCCCTGGATTGATGTGAAGTCCAAAACTTCACCTGAGATATATCTTGTCAGCTAAATAAAGCAGCTAGGTTTTACCACATGTGCTTAATCACTGTGCATGCAAGGGTGATTTGAAATTTCATTGCATGCTGTGCAGTAGTAAGTGTGCACCCACTAGCTGGTGAGGTAGGGCATTGGAAACCGTGTACTATTATTAGGACACAACAAAAAGCAAAGGGCATAGCAAAGGGTAGAATGGTCAATTGGTTGGCTTGGATAGGGTGAATAAGTGTTAAAGTGGTTGACTTGTTGACCACAAGGACTCCCGCAGTTTCCGCTGCAGGTAGGGTTCTGCTTTTAGGCATTCAAAGTTGAAGCAACAGTGGTTGAAGCTGCGGTGGCTGCTGGTGCATGCATCCGATGCTTTTTTCTTCCCTAGGTGGTATGTGTATTCAATGATCTTCTGTATCCATATTTGTGGAACTAAACCCTAACCAGTCTTGTAGCACTCACGGAATACTAACATCTGCGTCCATAATTCTTACAAGCTTTTACTATTTTAAGTAGGTCATATTAATTAATGACACATTTCGAACTCATTTTTTAATACTTTCAGACTCAGAATTTGGACTATTTACATACCTTACACGTAAAGTCCCTCATGTACACCTTTGTTTTAAACTCATTTGAACACTTTTATGAGGGAACTAATTTCTACAAGCTTTTCTCCTACATACCTTTGTTTATTTATGACATTTTCGAATTGTTTTTTTTTTTCTTCTTTTGGTAAAATGTTACAGATTTATGTTACTTGAACTTTCATCACTCCACCAAATTCTCGAAACTATATCAGATTGTTTTGTGTTTACAAGTGAGGTTTAAGTTTCATTAATTTCCAAAAGCTTTGCTGCTACTATTCGTCTTAATTTAACATTCCATTAAATATGTAATGGTATGATGTTGGCACTATACATTGTAACTTTATTTTTCATTGGAGCATGGCACTGTTGCACTTCCAGTTTGGGTTCAATTTAGGGCGCGACAGAAAGTGGTAGCCTAGTGACTGAAATAATAAACAAGGGTATTAGTAGAAAAAAATTTGTGCATGAAAATTATTATTACTTATATCCTACCATTTTAGATTTTTTTTTTTATAAATAAATCTTCTATACGGATCCAGGTCCTCTTCGGATCTAAGGATCTTGAGCCTAGAGATCAATTGATCCGACTCGATGAAATTTGATCTAACGATTATAATTATTATAATTTTTAGTAGGATCTTTTATTTGTAACCGTTTGATCAAATTTCAACTGATCGGATCAATTGTTCTTTAGGCTCAGGATATGAATCCCTTCTATACTATTGTTAAGAAAATCTTCTTTGTCAACTTTTTTTCTTTTTTTTTTTCTATTTTGTCCTGACTTTCAATACACTATTCACAAAAAAGAGGGTAAAATAGTAATTTTGTATCTTTTGATAAAATGACAATTATATGCCTATTTTACCCTCTTTTTTAGATAATGACAATCATATTTTTTCAATTTTACTTTTATTTTTGATACACAATATTTATATAAGAGGATCAAAACAATAATTATGTAATATTAAAAAAAATATGTATTTATCAAGAGAAATTATTCACACATAAATTATGTGCTTTCTGTTAGTATCATTTATATAAAGTGTTACTTGTTATTTGATTTGATTGAAAAAGGGTTTTGTTTGTGTTGTTTTGATAAATAGATTGAAAATTTATACTTTGGTTGTATGAATTTGGGTTGCACATCAATTTCCAAGGACAGAACAAAGGTATGGATGCTTTCTGCAACCTTTCTCGAAACTGCAAGAAATAGAAAGAAAAAGAGTTGACGGTAGATTTGAGAGTGAACCGAACTGATGGAGATTTGAGATTGGAGCAGGCCGCGGCAGGCAGTCAGGCAGTCAGGCAATGAGAGTTCTTTGGAGTTGAGTGTAGAAGAAAATACGTAGAGTGCTTGCTTTGCGCGTTACCTTACCTCTGTCTCTGAGACTGAAGTAACAGATCGATCGATGAGCCCACTCACATTTGACTGCATGCGATACGACACAACGAACTTTTTCAGCATTTTTTTATTTCTTTTTTAATTCAAAACGTTTGTTTTGAGGCTGTCAGTTGATGTTACCGGACCCCGCCATCCATGTAGCATCATGGCTTTATGATACATCACATCCCTGGAAACACGAAATCTTGCTCTCCATGTGTGCATGCATGCATGCATGGTCTCTCATTGATATATATTTTATATATATATATATACATATATATGTATGTATATGGGTGCATGGCTGGCCCACTACTTGATCCACTGAACTGATACCGCAATTCTGTTCTATGGCCTTTTTGGATTACGGGGTTCCATCTCTATGCTCACATGGTCGAGACTCAGTCTCAACTCTCAAGTCTAAACCTAACAAATTGAGAGGGAATTGCCAAGGTTTGTTGCATTGTGGCTATTGATTATATTATTTATTCTTTCTCTACAATTAGAATGGAGAAACTAATTATGTGATTACGTCGTACAATACGTTAGGAATGAAACTTTAAAGCACTTGAGTGTGGAGCCAATTCCATTTCTTAAAGCAGTTTTCAAGTTAAATATTATGGGATGAATTTTTTTTTTTCTTTTGTGACCTTTATTTGTGAAGGTGGATTAATTTGTGAGCACGTTTCTGCTACCTAAGTATGAACAAGTTATTTAAAATTTGGCATGATTGATTTCCGTTCAATTATGTGAGTCGGGATTCTTCAATTGCAGACGATGCTGCTGGTTCATCGGGCGAAGAAGAAGGGAGTGGAGGAGAGATAGAGGCACAAGACTCTCCGCGGACAAAGGAAGATCATGAGCTCAAGGATAAACTGTTGCGTAAATACAGTGGCTATATAAGCACCCTTAAACATGAGTTTTCCAAGACGAAGAAGAAAGGAAAGCTCCCAAAAGAAGCAAGGCAAATTCTCTTTGATTGGTGGAACCTTCACTATAAATGGCCTTACCCAACGGTAACTAATAACTTATAAAGGCTTAATTTTATAGGTTACAGTCATACCCGTTTCCTCCTTTTGCACAACTCTGTTTACTATTTGTGCATTGATCCCTTTGGGCTTGTTCAATCTGAAAGGCAAAAATAAACGAAGTATGTAGAAGGAGAAAATGGAGTGTGGAAATTAATCACTCTAATTATCTGGTATGGTGCAGGAAGCTGATAAAATTAGTCTTGCCCAAGTGACTGGACTGGATCAGAAACAAATTAATAACTGGTTTATAAATCAAAGGAAGCGCCATTGGAAGCCATCAGAGAACATGCAGTTTGCTGTCATGGACAGTCTTTATGGACCATGTTTTACCAAGGATTGATTTGGCAATTTACCATCCTGTTTTAACTCGTTGTACATGATTAATAATGAACTCAATTTGGTTATGTTCCTCGTTTACTAATGTTCGTTTTGTTATTAGTATGTGTAAGGACAAAATATTATTGAGGATAGTTGCTAGATGTGGATAGACAGCTATATTATGATGATTGACTGGGGACTTATGTTTTGCAAATATCCCGCATGATATGTCTCGCATTGTGGAGAACCCGTTTTAGTTTTAGCAAAGAGAACCTGTGTTGTTAAGATTGACTACCACTACCAGTGAGAAAATTAGTTAATTAAGATGGGCTAAGTTCTCATTCCTAAAAGCATTGAGCGGCCCCTATCAGCTTTGTCTCAAGCGTGGGCGAAGTTTATGCGTAAAGACCGAACAGAGGGCACGCAATAATTTTGGAGTCCCTACCCCTAAGGTGTAAAAGTTGACTTTATTGGTTTGTTGCTGAAATTGAGACCTTTCACTTACAAATGTAAATGAACACCCATTAAACCAAGGCAAGCATATCACTACATATGCTGTTGTGTACCAAGATAAGGGATACAAGTCATACGCTAGATCAATATACTTGAACCCTGTAGAAAAACACGATATTTTGAGACTCGCATTCGTTCATTATGCCTACAAGACGTCTTCATCAACTACTTTCATAGTTGCCTGAAGATCTGTTGCATCTACTGTTTGAGTATTTGCACACTTAAGGAATGTTGTAATTAATATTTCACTCAGTACTATTGTGTAAATCCTAAGTACATATAAGTTAGGAATCTTTCGAGATTTAGATCTTTTTTATTTGACTTAGTATTACTTGGAAAACACATTATTTTCTCCCTCTTAGACCATCTCCAGCCCTTGGGTTAAACTTAACATTTTTTACCCAAAAAATTTAAATTTTAACCCAAAAACAGTTTTTTTGCTCCAACCATTCTGAGTTAAATTTTTAGCCCGAGATTATTAAAGAATGAATTTAGGATAATTTTTTTTTTCTTAAAGTAACTTTTAAAAAAATAAAAATCATGTAGACTAATTCTAATTTAATTTTATAAACATTTTAACCTAAAACTATTTAGATTCCAACAAATATTGAAAAATCACTAATCCGACACCATGAAACTTGTGGAACACTATAAATAAAGGCATTAAACAAGAGGAATATCATTACAGAATTCCTCAAGCCTTTAAAGCAACTCCACCCCTACCAAATTGCCCAAGCAAACTGCACCTCCACACCGAAAATAAACAGCCAGGCTATTGGTGTTAAAATATTATTATTTTTTTTAGAAAATAATAAAAGATAATTTCATTTCAATTTTGGATAGAATTTTTAACCAATCTCATCACGTCATATATCATCATTCGGAAGTACAATTTTTTATGGATAGATTTTTTAGTAGATTTTTAACCAATTTCGTAGTGCCACATGTAATGATTCTGTAAGAATTTTGTGGATAAATTTATAATAAGATTTTTAACCAATCTCGTTTCACCACGTGTCACTATTTGTTTCACCACGTGTCACTATTTGTTTAGAATCATTGTGGATAGATTTCGATAAGATTTTTAACCAATCACGGCGTGTCACTTGACAATATCTACAACCTCATCCTTTCTTTTTTTTTTCTCCATATAAACCCTACATTCATCCTAATAGTCACCAAAATCAAAATGGAAGAGTAAGAGCATGAAGAATGTAGGAGGAGAGATGATGAAGAACATGATTTTTATTTAGGATGTGTGGGACTTGCGATGCTCAAATTGATCTTTAGACTTCAAAGCCTTCAAATACCCAGAACTTCTTCAAATGTGTGACAGCAACCTGAGTAAGTCAATTCTCTCTACTTGGTTTGGTTTTGTTATTCCGTTCATTAGTGGAGAGATGTATGAAATGATAGAGGATTACATCTGGTTGTCTAGTCCTAAGTCTAATTAGTGGAATCATGTTGTTATCATGATCTCGCTAACCTTGGAAATCACATGAAAGATTGTAACTATATTAGGCTAGCTTCTGCACTTGCCATCGCGCCATATTTTAAATTTAAGTTGTCAATATCACTCTCTATCAATTCTCTCTATTTCGAATTCACTTTGTTTGCTGCTTAATATATATATATAAATTTTTTTTAACTCAAAAAGATGGATTTGCCACTTAACATTAGTTGGTAATCTTTTTACTTATTTTAACTTTGGAGGGTCTAAATCTCTGGCCTTCGTGAACATGTTTAATAATTGAGTTTAACTATCAATTTACCTCATAGAGGTTTGGATTTACCACTATAATAATATTATGTGTTTTGCCTCGGCCAAGTAGCAAACATACACAGTCAACTCTAGGTCTGTTTCCTGTAAAGATATGCTATTTAGTTTTCGGGATGGAACCTCGAGCACATGTTTTATGTGTTTCCAAATCCCTTTCCCTTTTCATTTTCAGTTTTTTCTTGTTTATTTATTTATTTATTTTCTTTTTATGACGTCCTACAAGAGAGATTTGCGATAGCATGTATACCAAAGGCGAGCGCATTGAGGAAGATGTTGAAGTTTTTAAAGACTTCTTCAATGAGTTTAATGAGCAAGATAAGCATTCAAGGGACTGATATCGTTTCTCCATTAGCCAGAACAAGAGTTTGAGGATGTAGTGCTTGTTCTGGCTAATGGAGAAACGATACCAGTCCCTTGAATTCCTATCCTGCTCGCTAAATTCATTGAAGACGTCTTTAAAAACTTACATCTTCCTCAATGCGCTCACCTTTGGTATACGTGCTACTGGAAATCTCTCTTGGATGTCGTCATAAAAAGAAAATTAAAAAAAAACAAGAAAAAATTGAAAATGAAAAGGGAAAGGAATTTGGAAACACATAGAACATGTGCTCGAGGTTCTAACTTGAAAACTAAATAGCACGTCTTTGAAAACACCTACAGGCAAACAAAAAGCAAACAAAAAACAAGCCTAGAGTTGACTGTGTATGTTGGCTACTTGCTACTTGACTGAGGCAAAACATATAATACTATTATAATGGTAAATCTAAATCGTAAATTGATAGTTAAACTTAATTATTAAACATGTTCATGAAGGCTGAAGACTCAGACCCCTCCAAAGTTAAAATAAGTAGAAAGATTACAATTACTACCAACTAATATTAAGTGGCAAATCCATCTATTTGAGTTACAAAAAAAAGTTAGAACTCAATTATTAAACATGTTCATGAAGGCCAAAGACTCACACTCCTCCAAAGTTAAAATAAGTACAAAGATTACAATTACTACCAACTAATATTAAGTGGCAAATCTATCTATTTGAGTAAAAATAAAAAATAAAAAATAAAAAATAAGTGGCAAACAAAGCAAATTCGAAGTAGAGAGAATTGACAGAGAGTGACTATAGACAACTTAAATTTAAGATGCGGAGTGATGGCAAGTGCAGAAGCTCACCTAATACGGTTACAATCTTATGATTTCCAAGATTAACCAAATAATGATATTAACAGGATTCCACTAATTAGACTTAGGACTAGACTTGTCCAAAAAAAGAGTTGGGACTAGACAATCAGATGTAATCCTCTATCATTTCCTACATCTCTCCACTAATGAACGGAATAACAAAACCAAACCAAGTAGAAATGACTTACTCAGTTGCTTCATGCTGTCACACATTTGAAGAAGTTCTAGAAGGTTTTGAAGTCTGAAGATCAGTTTGAGCATCGCAAGTCCCACACATCCTAAATAAAAATCACCCTCACACCTGAGCGGGTGCACCCTAGCTTTGCCCGCCCTACCGACAAAAAGATTGTTTTGGCACTTATGTTTCCATGGAGACGGTTTAGCCGCTTATGGAAATACATAAGCCCAAGAGCAATAACCTTTAAAAAAAGTATAGAACAATAACTTAAATTAGTTAAAACACAAAAAATACAGCTAAAGGAACGAAAAATTAAGCACTAACTTCATGATTTGCCTAATGTCATCTGACAAGATTCCATTATCGCCTATTTGATCATTTGTTTTATCTCACTCATGTAGAGAACACTCCACTGATTCTGAGAATATAATGTCTTCCTCTATAGCTCTTGCTCCGCTATGAGTAGGAACTCTTGGTGCTCTATTCTTGACATTAACTTTGAGGTTGTAGTGCTTGTTCCAGCTAATAGTCAAACGGTATTTACTATTTAATTACATCTTTTTTTTTCACCGTGGGTTGTAGAATAGAATTAATGCATGCCGCATTTCTGTATCGTTTGACGAAACCAGAGCTAAAGAGTTCACCACCTTTCTTCTCATTCCTAAAACCCTATTTCTCCTCTTCCCTCTTGCAATCCGCCCCGCCTGCCTCCGCTGCCCCCACGCCGTCCAAGTTCGAAACGGAAACTCTTCTCCAGTTGCACCACATCCTCAGCATGACATAAAGCAACATATTACTGCAGATGTTAAAACAACGGGCACTGGAATTCCAGCCTAGGCCTTCGAGATTCTGAACACATGACGCTAATGGTGGCCGCAGGGATTGGTGTTCCTCGAGAAGGAGCTGAGTGGGAATCCTGAAATGGTTGATGGGATTTGACCTTGGAGATGGTTCTTTGATGGGTTTAGCATGTGCAGGCTTGTCAACTTTCCAAGTGGAGCAGGAACTTCTCCTTGGATATGATTGGAAGAGAGATTTAGTCCCTCCAACTTCATTATGTCTCGAGGGATGATTGTCCCCACTTGAACACCTGCTCAATTCGTCAGGTGTGGAGTTTTATCATCACTTGAATATTTGCTCAATTTGTTAGGTGTGGAGTTTTATCACAAAAGACATCGATGTTAGTTAGAGTGAGGTAATTCTATTTAAAGGGTTTGGTCTCAAGCCTTCTGGCCGATGTGGGATAGAAGAATTCTAACATTCCCCCACACGTGAAACCCCATTTTATAGGTCACATATGAAATTCCACACATCAGCAACCATGTGGAGCCAAACCGGGGCTCACCCGTTTGAGTGGAGCCAAACCGGGGCTCACTCATTCACGTGGCATCTCTTGGCCTACGTGGAGCTAAGAATTCTAACATTCCCCCACACATGAAACCCTATTTTATAGGTCACATGTGAAATTCCACACATCAGCAACCACGTGGAGCCAAACCGGGGCTCACCCGTTTGAGCGGGGCCAATGGGTACCCACTCATTCACGTGGCATCTCTTGGCCTAGGTGGAGCTAAGTTGAAATTCCACACATCAGCAACCACGTGGAGCCAAACTGGGGCTCACCTGTTTGGGCGGGACCAATGGGTACCCACTCATTCACGTGACATCTCTTGGCCTACGTGGAGCTAAGTCAGGGCTCACCCGTTTGAGCGGGGCCAATGGGTACCCACTCATTCACGTGGCATCTCTTGGCCTACGTGGAGCTAAGTTGAAATTCCACACGTCAACAACCACGTGGAGCCAAACTGGGGCTCACCCGTTTGGGCGGGGCCAATGGGTACCCACTCATTTACGTGGCATCTCTTGGCCTACGTGGAGCTAAGTCGGGGCTCACCCGTTTGCACGGGATCAAAAGGGATCCATCCGTTCACGTGGATGTACGGGCTCGTTCCCTGACTCTGATACCATGTTAAATTTTAGGTAGACTGGCCGAGGGCCTATTCCAACAACACCGATACTGTCCCCACTTGAACACCTGCTCAATTTGTCAGGTGTGGGGTTTTATCACAAAAGATCTCGGTGTTAGTTAGAGTGGGTAACTATTTAAATGGCTTGTTCTCAAGCTTTCTGGTCGATGTGGGACAGAGAAATTCTAATACCAATTGATTATTGTATGACTGAAAGTTCGTGATGAAGTGCATTTTTTGTGTTGAAATTTTACTTGTATGAAGCTCCGAATTTGTCATCTGGGTTTATATTGTTGCAGCACTGACAGTATTGTATAATGTGTAATACATCTTTTTTGGTTTGTTAAAAACATCGGTTGCTGGGTATGCTTTGAGGAGGAAAGATTGCGAAACAATAACTGGGAGAAGAGTTCAATGCTCAGCGCACGTTCCTCCTCCCGCTTTGCCAGGACATTCTGTTCCGGAGTCAGGCCGCAGGACTTGGGATGGTCCAAACCCTGTTTCTACTGTTGGATCTATTGGTTCCGATGGAACACAAGCATGGAAAATGCATCTTTTAAATTGTTTATTGGAGATTAGTTTTACAATTGTACTTCCAAGACCGGTACGGAGTTCTTAGAGAAGAGCAAACTAAATTATGGATGGCTTGAAGCTCAAATTAAGAAATAACATGATTTGCTACCATACCGGTGTGGGAGTTGCATCTTGCTGTATAAGAAGCACATGAACTAGACGGTTTGTTAGCAATAATCTTTATGTAAATCTGGATGTAATGGTCTTTACAAAACTCAGACGGCTAGTTTTGATGGTGTTATCATCTCTACAAGTCTCTTCCTTGTAGAGATGAAAGAGGACTTGGAATTTGCATTAGTTATTGCATCCATCTCTGATCTAAAGTTTTCGAATGATGGGCGGCACATCTTAAGTCTCGACTACATGAATCTAATGGTGCTTTATTTTAGTTGAGGTTATACTTTTAGATTTTGGATTTTCCTTATAAAAATGCGATGCTTATAAATTTATGTCATCATCAAGTTTATGATGGCATTTTCAAAATTCTTCTTCTGCTGGTCCAAATTTAATTTGATTGCTGCTGTTGTTTTTGTTTTAGCTCTGGGACATGCATATGGACTCTTCACCAGTTGCAATATACAAGATCCACGAGCACCTGCGCCCTAAGGTAAGCGGAAGAGAAAACAACATTTTGGCTCCCGTGGATAATTGGAGCAGAAACTTCCTTCATAAATTTCCCCCCTCGTTAATGTCTAAAACAACCTGTGAATTGAGTTGCAAAAGAATAATCAGCTTTTATTTTTAAGTTCATATGTACAACCTTGTATGCCGCTCCTCCGTTATCCCTACAGCTGACAGCATCTTTACCCCCTGCAGTTATCCGAGTTGTATAACAATGATCGCATTTTTGATAAATTTGGGTGCTGTTTCAGTGGAGATGGACTTCATTATGCGACTCGGTCTTATAGGTATTGCCCTTTTAGGTCACAGTTCCTTTGTTACCAATCAAAATTGTGGAGCTTGTATTTGCTTGCTGTTGCCCAAGTGTTACAACTTTCTTTTATTGTTACTTAGCAACCTAGTGCGCATTTTTTCCCATGGAGGTGGAAGTGAAGAAGGAGCTACAGTAGAAGCTAGCATAAGTCCCAACAGGTCTGTTCTAATTCCCTCAAATTGTAATTGTCGAGTTGGTGTAATGGAACCTTATAGTCAAGCGGGGAGGGTTCACTTTCCACGGATAACTGTTCGTTGTTTCCATGGACTTGAGGGCGTACGCAAATTTTGCTTGTACATGGAGTCGTAATTGTGAAACCAAGTCAATTGTCGCTTAGAAATGTGCATAAATTATTTCAATTGTCAATTGTATGTAAGTTATGTTTTGTTTCTTCCCTGAAACTTTTACTTCCCTTCTGAACTTGAAAGCAGGACGCCAAGTCTCCACACAGCTCCAAGGGCTCGGAGGTCATCCTTGAGCATCCTAGCACGAGGATTTTACCGACATGGTTGGGCTTCTGAACCTCATTGTATCTATGTCCATTTGTTATATAGAACGCACATCTTCAGATTGAAACACGTCTTTTTCTGATTTTTCAGGACATGAAAATTCAAGCTCGCGCGGTAACAATAGTAGTTATGACCTAAGCTCCAAGATTCTACATCTGGCATGGCGTCCAGAAACAAACTTGATTGCTAGTGCCGCTGGGAATAGCTTGTTCATGTATTATGCATGCATTTGTGTACAGGACAGTAAGTGATTTTTGCACTCGCTTTTTCTCCCGTTGCACTTAGAAGGAGTGCAAATGGAAAAATAGGAATGCATAAATCATTTCGCTTTAGTCATGCTCATGTTTTCTTAGAGACATTATACTAAAATAAACATGGCTAGTCTCTCAGATTGGTTTCCTCACAAGGCTGTTGAGATTATCTCAAGTGATGAGGAGAATGAAATAATGAACCACATGAGCTCTTAAAACTAGTTCAAGCGTTGAGGAGAACAAAATAATGAATTATGATTATGACAAGCTTTGAGTTTATTTTCTTTGTTTCACCGACTCATGACCCTAAAAAGGGAATAATTTGTGCATATTCCCTTTTGTATGACACTGAGCTATAATATGCTTTTGACAAATGCTACTGTGTGTATTCACACACATATTTTACATATATGCATTTCATGTCACACCTATTGATCCTATAAGTACCAAACATAAATAGAAAGAATAGGGATAGTAAACTTCACTCAACCATGTGCAATGGAACAAGCTCAACGTCACTAATCTTTAATTCACTCTACACGACTAAGTAAAACGCTTGATTTGAGATTGAGAAACAACTCACTTCGATTGCACAAAGCAAATAGATTATAACATCTAATGCAACTCTCACCATAATCTCTAATGCGACTTATCAAGTTTTATGCAATTCAAGTAAAATGCCCTTATTACTTGAATTTCCAATGCCAATGCCAAGGAGCCACCCTTGGGTCTCAACTATGAATCGTCAGTAAACGAAAACCTGATAATTCCGAAGAGGAAGAGTAAAATACTCATCAAGTTTCAAGATTATTATACTTAATAATGTTGGGAATTTGTTGGTGAATTGTGTATAGAATATTGGCTCTTATACTATTTTATGTGTCATTTTCGAGTTTAAATAAGATGTACTTAAGTTGAGACGAAGAGTAACCAAATTTGAATAGAAATTCCCATTGAGTTAGCTTGCGGATTATTATTTCCCTTCCCATTCTCTGCGGCTTTCGTGAGCTGCATCACCTACCATAAGAAGAGATAAGCATCCAACTTGCGCATATATTTATTATTTGGGCAGCTCAGACACCACTGCCCAAAACCCTTCCTTCCCAAAAGATAAGCATCCAACTTGCGCATTTGTTTATTATTTGGGCAGCTCAGACACCGCTGCCCGAAACCCTTCCTTCCATGCCACCAACCTGCCCGCTGCCCAAACCCCCTCACCAGTTGCCCTAGAAGACCCTCTTAGATCCTCTATATAAACCAAACCAAAGCATAGAACTCTTCGTTTCATTTTCATAGCCTCCTCCTTCGTCTTCCTCCTCCCTCCTTTGTCCTTTTCTCCTGTATACATGCCATTAGGGTTTAGGGTTTATCTTTTGTTTCGTCTGGAGAATATGTTTAGCTTAATGATGGTTGCTCATCTGTTTCTCTCACCACGAGACGATCAAAGTTCAAACGTATTCTGATAAGTGAAATAGTTATCAAACCATCCCTTTCTAGCAGCAACTTGCTAGTTAAGTTTGTGATGTTCTTGATTTTATATATGTGTGTGTGTGTGTGTTATAAAAGGGTTTTGTTTACGTGCAAAGATCTTCCATCCGCATGCAACAAATGATGGGCAGAGCGGCCATGTTTTGCACAGATTGACTGAAAAAATTGAGTGCTCATTTTGCGTGTGCTTCAGTTAGCTGTTTGCTTCTGTAAGAGGTTATATGCGATTTCTGCAGAATCTCTTTGGATGTTCCAGCATACATACCATACATACCTACATACATGAGACATGCGATGTATCGATGATATCATGCATTTGATTTACTCCATTATTTTTAAACGAAATTGTTTTTGTCTTTAAATTCCAAAGTTTTATATGGAAAGGTCAAACAATAATTTGGAAACTTTTTTTTTTTTCTCTCTCTAAAAATAGTAGGTAAGGAATAAGAATCACATAACAATTTTGGGCTGCTTGCTAAAGTTGGCGTATTGTGCCCTTTCCATATTTAGATTAAAGTCATGGACCTCAGTTGACTGAAAAGTGATCCATAATAGAAATGTCGATAATTTGACGACCGATCCAATGATTGGAAAACGGCCCTGTCATTTGTGGATGGGCTGGTCCTCAAGCCCTTCTGGGCTTGTTTGACCTAATTTTAAAACGTCTTGAGATTTGACTTGCTATTTACGAGATTCGAATTTAAATTTCTTACATACAAATGTCACAAGACTCTAGGACTAATTAAGTGACAGTAAGAGAGCCTCTAACGAGAATAAACATTGTTAAGAGTGTGCTAATGTGTGGGATAGTAAGAGTCTCTAAAACAAAAATAGTGGTCTCAAAACCAAATACGCCAGGAAGTTGTTTTTATTTTTTTTTTCAAAGGATTAATTGGTGGTTTCTTGACGGCAATTCACTTTTTTGAGAGCGGAAAAGATTAAAAAAGGCATTTCAACATTCACCTGACTATCTTCGTATGATTCATCAAAGTCAAAAAATCGAACCTCATACGTGTCGTGTGAAATTCCACCTGGAATTCGAAAAAAGAAGGAAGTTGCTTTTTGTCATGAAAGGTAGGTGATCAAAATCAAATTAAGATTCTCAAAGTTGTGGTTTCCTCTATATGTGGCAAGCCAAGACAATCCCAATTAATGAAATGCTTGATCCCCACTAGTCATGCATGTGCACACATGCATACGTTTTGGTTATATTAGCCCAAGGATTCGTGAAATCTAAGGTAGGTAAGATGCACAAATCTGGCAAAGGATTACGGAGGACCCTTCGATTTGTTTTTTTATAATCACATGTTAAACGAGAACGAGACACTAATTACCAACAATTTGAAGACACTATTTACCAAATGATACAATGTAGAGTCTTATATGTTAAAGATAAACTCTTTGGAGGACTTGGGTTGACTATTATAGGTAAGAATGAATATCAAATTCATTTTCGAGATAAAAAAATGTGTCATAATAAGTTTTTAATACATTCTAACTAAAATTTATGAACAAATGAAAATCATGTAATTAAATTTGTTTTTTTAGTAGAACAAACAAGCACTTTAAGAAAAATCTTTGCAATACAGATCAAAAGGTGCATGATCCGCGGCCCCTCTTTGGTTTTTACATTGACCTATGGAAGTTACTGAGGACCGAATGGGAATGGTGTATGGGCACGTTTAGGTGTCATTTTAAAATGGTTGAAAATATTTTTAGGAAAAATGTTTTTGGATTCCGAAAGCATTTTAAGTGATTTCTGGAAGCATTTAAGTGCTTTTCTTATGATTTACTTGTATTTTTATTAAGAATTGGTTCCAAAAACATTTTCACAAAAAACGTTTTCAGTCATTTTAAAAGCACATCCAAACGAATAGTATATCTATTTTGGGCTTTCAGTCATTTTAAAAGCACATTCAAACGAGTAGTATATCTATTTGGGACACTATAAATGGTTTAACAATATAAAAACCATGGAAATAGATCATCTTCGGATCTCTTCCACCTAATCATCCTTATCAAACAATCCAAGCTCGTGAAATTTGATTCAATGACTAAAAACATGAACCCATTTTAAAAGTTATAACAACTTTAGTATTTCAGGGATCTGTATTATTTCACAAGGAAGAGCAGGTGAAAGGTACGCGGAGAACATCCTTTCCACCAAGCTTTTCTGACACCAGTGACTCCAAAGACTGAGCCTGTGGAGGGCAAAACTCTTTGAAAATCTTCGAAGCCCCCAAATTTCCCTCGAATTTTTTCTGGGCAGTAGGACTCTTTTCAGTTTGAAAATCTCAGAGGTTTTGCTGCCATGGCAGTTTCAACGCAGCTCCAATCTATGACCAGTCTTGCTTCGTTGACTCACCGTACTAAGCTCGAATTCCGAAGCAGCTGCTGCATTCCTTCAGTTCCTAGCACAAAGCAGAGAAGCTCAGCTGCCCGTGTCAATGCCGTGCCGACCAGCGTTTCCGAGAGCTCGAATTCGAAGCCGCAGATAGCTTCTTTCAGTGAGGTGCCAATTGGGGTTCTTTAAATTTTAAATTTTCTGTGGATTTTGTGATTTGGGTTTTTGTTTTGGTGGAGAAACATGAATTGGGTATGTGGGATTTTGGTGCGGTTTGTGCAGTTGATCGAGTCTTTGATTAGTCGGGTGAATTTGACGGAGGAGGAAGCTGAAGCGTCGTTGGAGTTCTTGCTGGCTGATGCCAATGATGCTTTGATCAGTGCTTTTCTTGTGTTGTTGAGAGCCAAAGGAGAGACTTATGGAGAAGTAAGTATTTTTATTGAAAACAGAAAATTTGAATTTTTAGTAGATCAAATTATGTGATTGCAATTATATGTGAATCCATCCGTTCTCACATGCATTGGCCATTCTTTTACTCGTGTTTTCGTCGTCGACATATTATAATTCAGAATCCGTGCGGAAATCGATTTTATTTTGAATAATAATGCTACCATTAGAGAAACTGAACTTTTGTTTGTGATTTATTCTTATATCACCAAATTTGTGGACTATGTAATCTATATTGACAGTAATTGTTGGAAAGGCCACTTTTCATACTTGCATCAATCAGTTCAAATTTGCATATTAAGTTAGCCTTCCTAAGGGTGAGTGAAATTTCGGGTCTAAAGGTACAGAAGGATTCTTTGAATGGATTGTATAGGTCAGTCTTCTTCTGAGCTCCTCTATTCTAGGAAGCATGCTCCACTTACTTTTTGTTGTCAGTCAATCTACGCCAAAGACTCTGGTTTGATATTCTTACAAGAACCAACATCTAAGATCACTAACCAATCCGGTTCACAAAATCTGATTCTTGGTGGATGGTTGCAGCTGATTGAAAAGGCTTACCTCGTTAATTTGAGAATTGCTTACAATGCAATACTTTTGTCTGGAATGAGTACGTTAGAAAGGCGTATTTGGAACAAAAGTAGAAATCAGTGAGCTGGTCATTGAATGTGAGTAACAGAGCCTCGTCTGGGAGAAATATGAATGATTTTCCTAATAATAAGTGTCCGTGTGAAAAGCTGATAACTGGGATTTTTTTTTTCCTGTTCCGAGTAGCACTTGGGTGCTAGTTTTTCTTTTGGTCCTGTTTTGTTGGTCTTTTGTTCTGCATTTGTGATGGCTTGTTTTTTTGGGGTGTTTCTATTGTTTTTCTGATCTGATCCTGTTGTTTAGTAGGTCAAGTGTACCGTGATATAGCTTATTTCCTGGATAATTATTTTTATTAGTTATTATTATTAAACAGATTGTCGGATTAGCAAAGGCGATGCTGAAGCACAGTTTGATGATAGAAGGCTTAGACAATGCAGTGGACATTGTTGGAACTGGTGGTGATGGCGCAAACACAGTAAACATTTCCACAGGGGCTGCAATACTTGCTGCAGCTTGTGGTGCAAAAGTTGCAAAGGTAACATCCATCTATATTGATATTGTAATATTTATGTGCCGTGTTTCTTTTATCAAAGTAAATACTATCAAACAATTGTTTGTATCTCAGCAAGGAAACCGTTCAAGTTCCTCTGCATGTGGAAGTGCTGATGTATTAGAAGCTTTGGGAATAATAATTGATTTGGACCCTGAGGTCAGTGCACTAAATATTTTATTTCGAATATGGTAAATAAAATGTGTAGAAGTGATATCAAATTTAGCCAGACAAATGCTCAATCAGGTTGGAATTCTTCTTGAAACAGGGGGTAACTAGATGTGTGAATGAAGCAGGCATTGGCTTTATGATGGCACCCAAATATCATCCAGCAATGCATATTATCCGCCCTGTCAGAAAAAAACTGAAAGTGAAGACTGTGTTTAACATATTGGGACCTATGTTGAATCCAGCAAGAGTACCGTTCGCTGTTGTTGGTGTATACAAGGATGACTTGGTGATCGTTTATTCTTAGAATTTTAGTGATAAATTGGAGAAGTTTGATTTTACCTTATAACTATTGAGCTGCATGTGCATGTGGTTTATAATTTTCTTATCTATATAGGTCTTAAAGATGGCCAAAGCTTTGCAAAGCTTTGGAATGAAGAGAGCACTAGTCGTTCACTCTGAGGGCTTGGACGAAATGAGCCCACTTGGTAAAATTCCTCCTTTTATTTTAAGATCATGTATTTGCTAATACAATATCATCATTATTTTGCTTCTAGTTTAACATAAAGCCTCACTTACGCGTGATTGATTTCAATATAGGACCTGGGCATATCCTTGATGTGACTCCCAATAAGATCGAGGAGTTCTCTTTTGATCCATGTGAAAATCTTGTCTCTAGTTTTCAACTGTTGATTCTTATGCTTATATTATGTTGGATGATTTTTCATTCAACTCAGTGTTCTCATCAATTCATAATTTTCATTATATACAGTGGATTTTGGAATTCCTCGCTGCACCCTAGATGATTTGCGAGGTGGAGGCCCAGAGTATAATGCCGATGCACTAAAGCGTGTATTGTCAGGGGAGAAGGGTGCCATTGCAGATGCATTTGTAAGTTTCCTTAATCGTTACAATAAAGCGTCAATTTTGTTACTTTCTTCCTATGTTTGACAAATCTGTTCATTACCAAAACCATTGGCCAGATCTTAAACGCTGCAGCAGCTCTCTTGGTCAGCGGCCGGGTGAACACCTTAGCTGAAGGAATTTCTTTGGCTCGGGAAACACAACTTTCAGGGAAAGCTATTAGGATCCTTGATCAATGGGTAGCACTCTCCAATGTAAGTGGTTTGGCCATACATTTGATATCTTCAGTTTGTGATTAAAAGTATCATTTTCTTTAATTCGTTTTGCTTAACGATTGCAGACAATGATTAAAGATACGGTTATTTACTGAGGACGTCAGAGCTATTGAGCCGACGCTGTTGAGAGAGCAAAATAAGGCAAGGGGTTGTATTTTGGAGTGTTTTCAATCTTCTCTTTGGAATTCATGTATACATCAGAGAAAAATTAACTAGAATTGAAAAGAATCCCAACACTTTTCTTCGTCTGTCAACTCGAAAACCAAGTTTAGTTTTATAAATATGTGAAACAATGGAAGCAAATAAGTTTCAAAAATATGTTTACATCTCTCTCTCTCTCTCTCTCTCTCTCTCTCTCTCTCTCGCTCTCTCTCTCTGCTTACATATGCTAAATTCTGTATCCATTTCAATAATGTTTCTGTGTAATATAAGCTAGTAGACACACCAGCAATCCTGCAAAAAGAAATTCCCAAATGATTAGACACCAAAGTTGGATCATTCGAAACTAATTTGCGCCTTTATAAGGTCATTAAAATGGTAAATTTGACACGAGTTGTTGTACTATAACGATGAGCGGAAGGAAGTACCTCTGAATGTATAACTCTCTGCCATAGAGTATGTTCTTGTTGATGCTGATTTTACTGCACATCAGACAGAAAGATGATCAATTAAGTTGAGCACTAGTAAATGGTTGGATAAGCATGCTAGGATGACTTGACCGTCTCTTGAACTCGAGTACGAATACTCCTACTTGTAAATTAGACTCGTTTAAAATATACGCATCGCTTCATTATAAGTGGCTAGTGAAAATTTGATACAGAAGTCATAGAAAGGAGAATAATCATGGGGATGTCTAACCAGAATCACAATTTGACGTGGAATTGAAGCTCCCACACATACACAATTGCCTAATGCCATCAGCGCCGTACCCGCACGTGCCACTGGTAGCCTCACAAGCTCTACAAAACTCATCGTTTTCTTGAACAGAGTACTTCACTCGGATACCATACGACCACCCATGGGCCCCATCCAGCTTCAGCGGGGCCAGATTGTAAGCACTGCTATACCCTTCACACTGAAGCTTGGTGAGATTAACGGCCTTGATGGCCTCAAACGGCACTGCACAACACTCAGGTGGACCCGACCCAAACATGGAACCCACCCTCCTATGGCCCAACATATCCCACGCCGGACAACCATAGTATTCCTCGCAACTCATTCCCGAAACGTTTCTGCATGGCAAGTGCTTCCCCGGAAAGCCTTGAAAGAGCGGCGACTGAGCGGAGCAGCCGATCAGCATGAACACGTTGTCGGCGGTCGGATTCATGTACGGAGCCCGCCATTGCTCGACGGAGAAGCCATTGCCCTTGGCACCTAGCACTATGCTGTCACATGTTGACATGTGAGGTTCATGCAACGTGAGGGCTTGGTAAGCGTAGTCTATGTCCAAGACCCTGTAAGATCCCGAGCTTATGTGAAACATGAGCACATCGTTGATGCAGTATAAGAGATCTCGAAAACCCGGGTGCCCGCAGCCGGAGCGGACGGCGAACGGGTAATCTATGGTGAGGTTTCCGCAATACGATCTGCATGTGTTGGCAGAACCGGATGGAAAAAACGAAGAAAATAAAAGACAGAGGAGGAAGCTGGGAATTATGAGCATAGTAGTAGTACTATAGCCACTCATGGATGCAAGAGAGAGAGAGAGAGAGAGAGAGAGAGAGAGTTTTGAGTGAGCCGTGTGGTTTGTGATATGAGTGACAGTGGAAATGTAGATGATATTGATACCTTGCTTGGATGATTTGTATTCAGAATATCTTTTGGTGAATGGTTAATGGGTTTTGCTCCTCTTTTTGGTTGGAGAATTATTTGTTTTTAAAACTTTAGTGTATGCTTTTGAAAAATTGAAATCCTGCAGAAGCTTTAGTTTGCTTTTGGGTCTTGGGACGGCAATAAAATTGCACGAAATGATTCCGATGGGGTTGCTTTATGTTCCAACGTCTTTGCTTGTCCATGACTATGACAAAGAAGGCGTTTTCCCTAACGATTGTATTATATTAGTGCTTTTCACTCATGCAAGAGGTATCATATTTTACTGACATAGATAATAAGTTTGATTTAAAGACACGTTATTTTTCAAATTTCTTATTACTGATTTCGTAGTTTTCACGTGTTATTTCATTGAGTAAGAAACAAGTATTTGACGACAGCTTAAATATTACATGTATTCAAAGTTTTTTAGTTAGAGAATCACTCATGTTTTTTTTTTTTGTGAGCATCGTGCCTTGAATTCAACATTAAAGAACAACCTGACTTAAAATTTAACCGCATTTTTACTGAATCACTTGTCTTAATTCATGTATTACAAATGTTGAAAATATGAGTAGTATTTAGCCAACCAAAAATGGCTACTCGTTATGTTCTAACATGTCTGATTTTGCAACATAAATAACACAACAACGTATGGTCCAGTTGAATTATTAAACAACAGGTCAAATCCATAACAAATGATAGATAAAATACCGACATATCTTACACATGTCAAGTGTTTGGCGAAACAATGACATGTCGTACGCACAGACCAAGTGTTTGCCAAAGGAAAGACAAGTCGTAGCCATGGTGGGGTATAATTTCAAACGACATGTCGTATATATGTCGATCGTTTTCCACGTGCCACCTGACTGAGCGGGAAGTGAGAATCTGGCGGTGGCGATCAGTACCACCGTCCGCGTTGCCTCCTACCTTTCAGTTTGGCCGCCCAGAAAAAAAAAAAAAAAATTTAAATAACAGTAACTTTAGCTGTTTTCAGCCGTTCTCTCCTCCAAGGAGACAGGAAGAACCCTAATTTTCTCGGAAACCAAACACCTCAGTGTTATAGAAGGTCCTCTTTAGGTGGTTCGTGTGAAGATCATACTATTTGATAAATGGGAGCTCCGGAGGAATCCGAAGACACTGTCTCAAACGTAAAGAGGACCTTCAAAATTTCCAACTTTTTTACTATTCTTATATGATAATTCTCTAAAACTGAATAATTTGGAATAAATACGCCTGCCCAATAAATTTTTAGTTTATATTTCCTTCATTTCTGGGTAAGTTTATGAATTTAGTGTCACTTGTTTAAATTTGGAGAAATTGAAATTTGGGTTTGATTTGTTATACGTTTTTGGAACTTGGGTTTGATTTGTTATGCGTTTCTCGAACTTGGGTTTATTATAAATTGCCCACCATATGTTTGATGAAATTCCTGTTAGAGTGACTATGGCATTGTTTTCTTTGGACTAGCATTCTCCGAAACTAGCAGGAACTGTCAACTGGGGCACGGCAACTGTCATCGGAGTGTTTGCAGGTTTGTTCTATGGTGGTAGCAAGGAAGCAGCTGCGTCAGTTGTAAGTTTGTATCTTAAATAACAACGTTCCAAACTGCTTAATTTGGTGCTTTGTAGTTATTCATGACAATGTTTGAACAACTGAGGTGTTTGATTATTATCGTACGCAATCTTCTTAAAAACTGAAACTTGTGAGGACTTTCTGCCTTTGCTTTGGCAGAGCAAAGATGCAGAAGTAATGTTGAAGCTAGGGAGCACGCCAGACAAGCGTGAACAATATCGTCTCATGAGAGATGCAATGGAGAAAAGGTTCATTCGTGTCACTCGGGGCTCGATAGTTGGTGGAGTGCGCCTTGGATTGTTTACTGCTACTTTTTGTGGTATACAGAATCTGCTTGCTGAGAAAGGGGCAAGCATGATGTTTTCAATGTTGTTGGAGCCGGTTCTGCCACTGCTGCTACGTTCGCTCTAATAAGTATGTATGAGTCATATCTGATCTTTGGGCTTCTTTTCGTTAACTGGTTGTTGTCATTGGGCATGTGCCAATGCATCGACTTCCGAAGTGATGCTTATGGCCCTTTCAGAAAATTCAAAGTAATTCGTGAAATGCAATGTTTTCTCGTTATATAACATTCGGTTTCACTTTAATCAGTGCCTGGATCATTGGCTTGGCGAGCAAGAAACATGATGCTAGGTGCTACCCTAGGAGCAGTGTTTGGTTTTCCACTAGGTAACACAGTCACCCGTGTAATTTTCCAAGTGTACGTTTAATCGATCATATGTCACTTACATGGGTTGATGCATGTCGTCGCAGGGTGGGCACATTTGAAGCTGGTAGGGAAGGCAAATGAAGGGAATCTGGCTGCACATCCCGATTCAGATCAAAGAGAAGCAAGGAGTGGTGTTGGTGCTGCAATTGAGAGGCTGGAAGATAACTTGAATAAGTAGAACATAAATTTCTGTAAGGCAAGACCTCCCCGTTGTCTGGCGCAAAATGAGAAGGATGAAATTTCGAGAAAAACTAGTAAAATGAGCTAAGAACTGTGCAGTATTCGTTGTTGCGTTTATTGAGGAATAACAACACTTGGTGAATCTGGTGATTTTTCTGTATAAATGTTACAATTTCTAAAGCAGAACATTTTTTTTCTTCGTTAGGAAAACGAACATCAGAATTATCTAAGAATCCGTAATGATATGATAATTGCGAACGTAATCACGGATTTGAGTCGTTGACTTGTGTTTGTTTTGGTTTCGTTTACAACTATGCTCAACAGCAACATCAAAGCCTAACCCCAATGTCGGCTGTATGAATTCTAAAATACTATTGCTCTCGATTTTATAACTATGCTCAAGAAGAATTAATTAGGTTTATTGATCCTCTTTGCAAATTATTAAATCCTCCTTGCATTAAAGGAATACAGTCCTTCCTGCAATACCGGCTACGGCGAATGGAGGGAATGTTCGGCAGAACCCTCCGCGACCTAGTGTCGGGATCAAAAACCTCGAAAAAGAGGCAACCAGTGTTCTTCCACGACTCCGGTAAACGTCCTGGCCAAGACATAGATTTTGTGGTCAATGTTGATCACAATAGGGTTGATTTTGTGACCCGTCATACTCAAAATGTCGTTTTTCTTGCAAACGAGGACGGGATCAGTCTCCAGACCATCACCAACCTTGAGCGTACACTCATAAACTTCGAGGTTACCCCACTGCTACTGCTTCCCTGTGCTTTTACCGTTCCAGCTGCTACCCTCGAACCATTTAGCGCCTAGCATGTATAAACGGTCATCCACCGCCGTATAAGCCAGGTCCATCGGCGCTGTTGTACTACCATCTGGGAGTCGATACTTGTTCATGACTTGAAACTCGGGCCTCACCGTAGCTGACCTTGCAGGAACGACAGGCAATAATCTCCCAATATCGAGACGCAGTAGCTCCAAATCCATCTGCATAAACAAAAACTAGGCCCTCATTGTTCTCCTGCACCGTCATCTTCTTCACAATTTTACTGAACCTGTGAATTCTGAGTGATCTAGAGCTAGACCCAACGGCAGTTTGGAGATTGATTTATAATACTAAGGTCCTAGAGCAATCAGGAAATATTTAGGAATTTCCAAACCTTAAAGCAATTAGGAAACGGAAATTAATGGAAAAATAAAAAATAAAAAATTCATGGTCAATTTTGAAACATTCTCAAATTGAGGGTGAAAAATGCAGTAAATCTTTTATTTTCTTATACGATGATACTTAGGTTAGATTTTGAACTTCCCGTATACATCCTTGTTAATTTTTGTCTATGATCTCAATTCAGTCGATGTTAGTCGAAAATTGAGAAGTAAAAGTGGGCGTGTGAATAGCACCACCAAGAATATTGAGGGTGTAAAATGCAGTAAATCTTTTTATTTTCTTATACGATGATACTTAGGTTAGATTTTGAACTCCCCGTATACATCCTTGTTAATTTTTGTCTATAATCTTCAATTCAATCGATGACAGTCGAAATTGAGAAGTAAAAGTGGGCGTGTGAATACCACCCCCAAGAATATAATAAAGGCTTAGCTTAGGCATGTTATTTTCATACTTTGCTTCAACATCAAGTTCTCTTTGTTACTAGCGCTCTTTTACCGGTATTTCAAGGTTATGGTGGCATAGGCTTTAGTTGGCAGGGCTCCTGACGCTCTAGTTGAATGGTGCACAAGGGGCTGCAGCTCTAACACTAGAAGAGACGGTTGGGGTGCCCTATGATGCCGTCAAACAAGTGAAGGGCAAGACTTGAGCGATTTAAACCCGTCCTCGGAGACACAAAATCCAGGCTCTACGAATTTAAACCATTCTTAGAAGGGATAGAGATCTTTCGCACGGAACTGAATCTGTAAGATGAGGAACCGAATCTCAAACGTCGGGATCAAGAGCTTGAACAACTCAAAGGCAGGTAAGCTGTATATGTAAAGTACAAAGCTTTAATTACCTAATGCAATATTCTTCGTAAAATTGATTTATGTCCCGATTTCTTCAACATGGAAAGTCTAAACTACAATTTTGTACTTTGAGCTACTTTAGATCCGGTGCAATCCACCCAAACCGAATTCGGCAACATAGAAATTGTTTAGCAGATGGGTGGTCGTTACAACCAGAGAACTCAAGACGCCGCTTTCGCTCACTCCCCCTAACCCTTGTCTTCTTTCTTCTCTTTTCTAATCAATCAATGAGTCGCGACCACGGCGTGGGTTGAGTTAACCACCATTTCCCTTATCCTTCCTTGGCTGCAACATACAGAACGGTTAGAGCCGAAAAAAGCAACAAGAAAACTACAAAAGCAATTTCATTCGTTTGTTGAGAGCACCTTGCTGTATAACGGCTTATTTCACATCCTCTAGGCTGCCCCGGGGCTTCTTCATCGCCCTCTTTACTTCCCTAGCTGTAATATTGTCCACAATTAAAGGTGAATATTGGTAACAAAAGTGGGATGAACAAGAAGATATACATTACAAGAGTAAAACAATTGCTACAACACGTCCAACTGGAAAACAATCCTAGACATAATTTCCCACAGTAATTCACTTGACCAGATGATTATTCAGTTTGTGTGGAACTAAGCTATCATCTGGCCAATAGAGTCGAATGTTCCTAACCACTAGTACCCCTAGGATACGCATGGGGACGCTAGTGGTTCCGAACTACCCCTTTTGTGGGGCATGCCTAGGTTTGAGCTCCCGTAAGGCCATAACTCTTACTTATCACCCCTTTTTCTCCCCATAAAACAGAAGAAGAGAAAAGAGAGGGTAATCTAACTTTTGCCGTCCAAGCTTACCCTTAAATTTCCTTTTCTTGTTAGCTCTCCTCCGCTTTCTCTCTGCCTGTGTAAGCTCTGCTTCTTCTTTGATGTCGCCTTTGCCGGAAAACACTTCCTCAGGAGCTAGCATTGCTGCATCGGACACGGCCACAGGTGCAATCTGCCCAATGAAGAGACATCACACACTTCAGTTATGATTGTCAACTTTATAGCAGAAAAAGTAGTATTTTCAAGGGATTCATGAGAACTTTTTTTTTTATAAAGAAACTGTAGACTTCACATTACCTCTTCCATTGCTAGAGCAGGGACATTGGCTTGTACCGACATATCCTCGACAACCTATGCCACATAGCGTATATCAAACCTGGCAATTAACAAACTACAAAAGTATACAATGCATGCATATAATATAAATTTTATGACTCAGAAGCATACAGGTTTTGGACTGAAGTGGAAATGAGAGAGCGCATCCAACTTCAAGCAAAGTTTCTTGAACAGCTTGCTTGCCTGATAAAAGATAATGACCACAAGGTTAGTGAATTAGCACCTTTAGGAACAGAGAAGGATGCAAAATGTAGAACAAAATCTCAAAGTATACTCATACAAACACCATATATTAGTATACACACGTGTGCATACAAGGAAATTAATTTTCAACTATTAACACAAATGAAACAGCAAAAGATAGGAGAACAAAGATAAAAGCATGCACCTCGTCCTTCTGTTTGTCTGTTAATGACAATGGAGCAGAAGCCAAATTCGTCTTTTGAACATACTCTTCCTGCAGAAAATTGACAAACAAAGGATTGTTAGGTATCTCAATTAGATGCACCGAAATCCAGCTTAAGGAGATCAAAATTTGGAAGCATGTTGGGCAGCTTATCAAGTGATGCATTTTGCATCAGGAGAACCAGACCTCATACACGTCAGCTAGACCCTTCTTGCTCTTATTCTCATCCTATACATTAAACAAAAAGGATCAGACAAACTGAACAAGTTGCTTCATTTAAGAAACAATGGATCGAAATTAGAATGCAAATATAGCAAAAGAATAATGCTGACCAACTCTTTAAGTTCTCTTGGTGCTTTAGAGGGTAAAGTAGGAGCCTTTTGAACATCATCAAACCGCCCCTATAAAAGATATTAAGTGCAGATTTAGAACTGGTTGTATTCTACACACACACACATATTAGAAGAAACAAGCAACAATATAAATCAAATGGTGACAGAAGGAATAAAAATTGCCCGCAAATAAAACATGAGTATTAATTTCTTTTCTGACTTATAGGGATCCATATAAACTGTTGAAAAGTTTCCAGTAAAGGTGATTGATCAAAATGCGATTCATAAAAAAATAGCTAACTTTGAACAGAACATTTTAGATAAGAAAATATGATAAACAAACAAATCCCCGGAATGTATTCACTAAAGATGTTATTTACCTCTTCGATCCTTTTCTTGATTATATCCTCAATTGATGTTGTAACCTCCTCTGTGATTACAGGGGGAGGTCTAACATTGTGCTCAAAATCCAGATCAACTTCTAGCGCACTGTTCTTTGGCCTTGTCGCTGCAGTTACCTGTTTCCCAAAGCCACAATTGTTATATGTAATTCACTTAAAGATACATGGTATCATGACATAACTAAAATGACTATTGTCCAGCAAAAAAAGAACTTCAGAAACAGAAAAATTACCTCTCCCTGCATGATCCAGCTTTTTGGCTCCAAATTTGCTTTTTCCATCTCTTCTATTTGGGATTGAAGCTTCTTAAGCTTCTTTTCATGGGTTGAAAGAGTTGTTTGCTTCTATATTAAAAATATGAAAATAAATGAGATGAAACTCCTTTTGAAAATATGGAGAATCTACAACTGCAAGACCATGCTCCCAAATTCCGTTACACTACATGGTTTGCAAGTACCTTCTCATCTTCTTGTTCATCTTCATCTCCTTCTTCTTGATCATCTTCATCTTGATCATCTTCCTCCTCGTCTTGTTCATCTTCTTCTCCGTCGTTTGTCCCCAAATCTTCTGATTCATCAATCAATTTTGATCTTCGTGTAGAACGCTTTTCCTTTTTTCCTCCATAGAAGTCTTCATATCTGTCGCACACAAGCAAAAGTTAGGCTTAAGCATATGCTAATGGATACATGAACTCCCACAATACATATCCACAGATGAATAACATATAATGGATGCACAGACAACTGATTAAAACGAAATATACACCATATACGGTATATGGTATACGTATACCCGATGAACAAATGCAGATGAACCCTAAATTTGCAATGGATTGATCCATAGTCATATAATCAACAATGGTACAATAAACATAGAAACGAAAACCAAGCAGTTCAACAAATGATAAATGTAGCACCTTGCAAACTTGTCTTCATCATCCTCATCATCGTCAATGTCTAAGTCTCCAAGCTAAAATGACGAAATGAACCGAGTTAGAAACCGAAAAAAAGACAAAAGCTTTCAAAATCAGCAAAATTCTCAGACCAAAAACCATACAATCTATCCAACATAAAAATTCGAGCATATCCTCACCCCCTCATCTTCTTCATCCTCCTCGTCGTCGTCGTCATCCCTTCTCTTCTTTTTCTTGTTATCAGTCTTATCTAGCCCATATTCCCTTGCTTCACTTTCCTCCAAAGACTTCTTCAAATCCTTTATCTTGAAAAACCCGTCCTCTATCGCATTATTATCCTCCCCTTCACTTTCACTTTCCTCTCTCTCCTCTTCTTCCTCTCCATCTTTCTCCTCACTCTCACTCCCTTCACCTTCTTCCTCCTCCTCCTCCTCCTCCTCGTCACTGTCGTCGTCAAATCCATTCAATTCCTCGTCAAAGCTCCCAATTTTAGCCTTCAAACCCTGGCTCTGAGCTTCCAGAACCTTCTCCTCCCCTTCCACGACCACCTTCAGCGTCTTAATCTCCTCCGGGTTCTTCTCAAACCGCTTCAAATCGCGGCGGAGGGTCGAGATGAGGGGCTGAGATTGGAGGTCGATTTGCTGCCATATCTGCTCAGCGTCGAATCCGTCGACCAGGAGCTGGTCAAACGGCGACTTGGGCGTGAACGGCCTGATGGAGGAGAAGATGCCCTGCAGGGCGGCTCGAGCCATTTGAGAGAGGGCGGGATTCGGCGCAAGTAGCTGCGTCGGTTCTGTGGCTTTCAGGGAATTCAGGGCATCGCTATTGACCGCCATGGATGGAGCGAAAATGCGAGCTTCTGGATTTGTGTTCTGTTTCTGACAACCGGTTAGGGGTTTAGGGTTTTAGGAAAGGGTCCTCTCCGGATCCATTCCACCAAAGCAACGGATCCGAACCTTTGAAATTTGATCCAACGATTAAAATTATTATAACTTTTAAAATGGCCTGTTGGATCAAATTTCAAGGGCCGGATCCCTTAATTTGGTGAATTTGGTAGAATAGATCCGGAGAAGATCCCTTTCCGGGTTTTAGATGGGAGGGAGTCGCTATTGTCTACATGTCGATATTTAATTCCTCAGAATTTGTGATAAATTTCTTTTTTATGTTAGTAATACTGAAATACTGAAAAAAATACAGTAGAAAAACAAGATATAAATAATCTTTTGATTTAGTAGTATTTCTCTTATTAGTGCCAGAATGAGATTTTAAGGTTGTTTTTTTTGAGAAGTAATATGCACAACCAATCACTCACACCGACACAAGTGAGTGACTTCCTTACGATGCAATGAATCATTTCCGACCATCAATGCAAGTGAATCTTATTACTCGTTAATAAAGCCAAGTTATTACGTCTGCGTGACGATTTGCCTTCTCTAGTGAGGAGTTATGAGTTCAACTGGTGCAAATAATTAAGAGTAAATTGTAGCAATGGTTTATCAACTAAAAATTCATTACTATTGGTCCGTCACTTATCAAAACGTGCAACTATGGTCTCTCAACTGAAAATTCATTACCATTGGTCCCTTAACTTTAATCCAATTAGAGAAATGGTCACTCAACTTTAGCTCAATTGGAGCAATGATCCCTCAAACTTTAACTCAATTGTAGCAATGATCCTTTCAACATAACTCAGTTTGACAAAATTTTGACGAAGTTGGCAAAAAGAACCATAGCTACACGTTTTGATTAGTTGAGGGACTCCAATTGTAGCAATGGTCCTTCCAACATAACTTATTTTGACAAAATTATGACGAAGTTGACGAAAATGACCATAGCTACAAATTTTGATGAGTTGAGAGACCAATGGTAATAGATTTTTAGTACCATTACTCCAATTTAATTAAAGTTGAAGGACCATTGCTACAATTTACTCAATAATTAAGGGATGCATACTACTAACTAAAAAATATATAAGTTTACCTATCTAGCAACTTTCACCAAAAAAAAAAGAAGAAATTTACCAAATAGTATTTTTTTCTTTTTGTCAAACAGCCCAAAACAAAAGCACAAAAAGAAACTATCCGGAGGGTTCTCAGGTCTCGATACAACACAAAAATCATCTAGCAAAACCGAGTGGACAACAAGAGTGGGTGCTCAAATCAGTTGTAACCAAGGTCAAAAGAGAGAATCAACTTTTTTTTTTTTTTTTTTTAATAAACGATATTATATACATTAAAAGAAAAGGGATGAGCTTTGCCTTACAATTGGCTAGCAATAATATGATTCAAATTCATCTTTGACGATAATCGAATCTAACTATTAGTTACCATGTTTTTCTCCCTATAGATATGCTGAAACTTCAAATGCTCAAACTGTTAGAACAAAGAGAGAGAACCATAATCAAATTTAATTAGCATTTTCAATGGTAAAAATCAATCATATATTTAATTGATTGAACAAACAATCGATGAAAGAGACATGAGACATGAGAATGGTAGGTGAGAAAATGAGAAACTAGAATTGTAAATTACTCTACATCTCTAACACTCAATGCAACAATAAAAAACTTAACATCGTCTTCAACAAAATTGTTCTAGTTTTTTTTTTCTTTCAAAAAAATAAATAAAAAATAGAAACTTAGACTAGTTTGTATTTTTGGAGTAGAACTTTTGGATGTAGAGTAAAAAATTTAAGCATGTGTTTTAAAATAATTTTTCGAATTTCTTTTGGCATATTAATAAAAGATAAATAAATCGTTGAATATTATTTTTATAATAAAAAAAATATACGATAGCAAAAATGTTACGTTTTTCGTTTAATTGTATTATTATTTGTACTAGATAGAACTCATCTATATTAACAAGTCGTATCTTTATTAGAAAAATAATAAAACTACACAGTAAGTTGACATTGACATGGAGAGCAATAGGGACCTGACTTTTCTGCCCTTCCACTTTTCATATACTCTTATCTCCTACTATTTGTGCGATTACGGTTAAGACACATCAACATTTTATATTATTATTATTTTTTTATCTTATTATCTCTGTAAAAAAAATTAATATAAAATCTTGATATATCTTAATCGTGATCATACAAAATATTTCAAAATAAGAGTATACGAGTAGTAGGACGGCAGAGAAGCCGGGTCCGAGCAATAGAGCTCACAAAGGGTATTGATTTCGAAAGCCGGAACGAAACAAAGACAACATTTTCGACATCGTAATTTCTCATCTCACAAGTAACCAGTCGCGCACACATCCACACCTGAAACTAAAAATAACAACTTTCCACTTCTTCAATTCAATCTCTCTCTCTCTCTCTCTCTCTCTCTCCTCCCGCCACTTATTCAACCCTCTGCAACCGAATCTTTGATGCTAAACTCGCTTCACAATCTGGGCTTCCATAAACTGCGCTCACGTCCATCGGAGCTCCACCTCCCAATCGTATCACAGCCGTCGGTTCCTCCCAGGTCACTTCCTCGCTCTTCTCTCTCTAACTCTCCCTCTCTCTGGATTTCATAAATTTCGAGCTCGAATTTATGATTCATTGACTTTCCAATGATTAATGGAGAGAAGATTGCCGAGACGGCCTCTCCCGATCCGTCGATCCCGTTCGATCCCAAATCGGACGGCGTTGGTGACGGTGGCGATTGCTATGGCGATGTTTCGCCCCGATCGCCTCCGTCGCGCTACTCCTCGTTTGGCGAGTCCGAGTACGAGCGCTATTGCAGCGCCAACTCGATGATGGGCACGCCGAGCATGTGTAGCACAATCACGGTTTTCAATGATTTCCCGGAGCCCGAATTTGGGTCGTTGAAAAGTTTGGGACTTGGGGAGGGGAGTGGTGGTTTGGATAATTTTAGCTTGGGAGGGAGGATTGAGAGAAATCGAGAGGATCGGAGATGTTTGAGTAGTGGTAGGATTGAGTTTGGGAAGGAGGATGGTAATATTGGAGGACGGAGGAGGGCGAGTTACGGGTCTAGTGGGTTGGAATTGTATGGCAACGAGGATGCTGGTGGAGCTGATGATGTAAATGAATTGATGTCTTGGAAGCTTGAGAGTGGATCGTCGGGTTTAGGCGGGGTTTCGGATGTGAAGTATGGTTCGGATAATAGTGACGAGGACAGTGAAAAGGGTATGGAAGTTTGGAGGGGGGTTGTGGGAAATGATAATATTGGAGTTGAAGGTGTGGCAGCCCAAGAGACTAATGATTCGAATGGGGAAGGAATTCGGAACCAGTTTGTACCCGAAGTTGAAGAATTTGATGGAGGAGAGATGGATAGGGAAGAAGGGACATCATCTAGAAATGAGTATTCAGAGGATGAGGGGTCTATGTACAACTATGGTTCGGATGATGAGCGCAAGAGCGGCTTTAGTCAGCAGAGGAATGTCCACTATTATCGGCAAGAGAAACCCCAGAATGAAAATCCGTTTCTTATTAACTCATCCGTAGCCTTTGGTTCCGATGATTGGGATGATTTCATGCAAGAAAGTGGCGGGAGTAATTTAGATTCTTTCACTAGGAACGTATTTGAGGGCAGGAGAGGACGGAATGTTGAAACTAAAAGGAAAATTTCGAATTCCACTTCCATCACTTCAGTTGAGCATCAGAATGCATGTCAAACCGAGCAAGGAAATGATGTGAAAGATGTGCAGCCTGGATGCAAACAAGTTCAAGCTGATGATAAATTGGTAGAAAATGTTTACAGTTCCATGAAGCTAGCTAGTTCTCCAAGTTTTCTTGAAACCGATAGAGTAGTAGATGTGAAGGACATTCCTGTGGCCAGTTATCAAGTTCAAGCTATTGATGACTCGGTTGAGTTCACCAAAAGTTCTTTTACGATCCCTTTTCAAAATGTTCAAGAACCAGAGGTAAAAGATTCAAGAGATATGCTTTTCACCAAGAATCAAGCTCCAGGTCCCGACAAATCAGCAAAACATAATAAGGCTTCCTTGGTTGGCAATGCCTTAAATATTCAGCCGGATCCACAAGCAAAAGAAAGTCCTGACAAAAAGGGTTTGAGCATTTTGGATGATGGTGTTTCTGATGTGCATACGTATATGAATACCGGTGAAGTCATTGATATTGATCACGGTCAAGATTTAGAAAAGAAAAAGTTGGGGACTTTAAAAGTTAAACTAGACCCCCTTTCTGATCAATCAACTAATCAAATTAGCATCCATTCAACCAGAACTTCGGGAAATGTGGAGACAGACTTCCTTGAGGACCATAAGCCAAGTACACTGCCATCAATTTTTGAAAATAATACAACGAAAAGTTCTGCTTCAGAAGATATCCTTGAAGAACATCCTATGCCAGTTAAGGTTAGTCATGCTCAGTACACTTTTTCTTTTGAGTGGCACTAGATTATTATTATTCAACTTAATTATATTTTCATTCGATTGGCCTAAGCCACATACGATTTTGTGTTTGTGAATATTTAATGCATATTATGCGTGTTGTGATACTCCAAGAAGTATCTCTATATTTATTTTCTGTCCAATTCTTGATACTCAGGAAACATATAGCTTATGTTAGTCTTCAAAGAAAATTCGAGTCTTGACTTGGATGGTTGCTTGTGTTATGCTCTTATTCAATCGTGTGTGCAGCTTGCCAATGCTTGTTATCAGCAATTTGTGCATATTAGTACACCACCTTTTGCCAGTGAATTGCTGGTAAATGATATTTGTAGTAATATACTATGGCAGCCTGATTTTATCCGTATAAGACCATTTTTGTGCGACTCTGTTGAGTTAAGTTGTCTGTATCTCATTTTTTTGTTTTACCGATGCTGCAGACAGATAATTTTGAGCATAATGAATTCTATGATGAGGTTGTTGATGAAATGGAGGAAATTCTGCTCGACTCTGCTGAGTCCCCAGGAGCAAGGTTCACTCTTGGCAACAGTTTCTTACAATCACAGCAATCTCTACCAGTAAGAGATGGTGGGTCGACTGCTTCTACTTCTGGTACAGATGATGCTCATTTGTTCCATCAGCATTCGTTAAGAATTGATGGGGTCGAAGTGGTGGGTGCAAGGCAGAAGAAGGGAGATGTCTCATTTAGTGAAAGACTGGTGGGAGTGAAAGAATACACTGTGTATCAAATAAGAGTGTTGAGTGGCGAGGATCACTGGGAGGTTGAACGTCGTTATCGCGATTTCTTTACACTCTATCGTCGATTGAAAACAGTGTTTTCTGACCACGGCTGGGATCTACCTTCTCCCTGGTCTGCTGTAGAAAAGGAATCCAGAAAGATTTTTGGAAATGCGTCTCCTGATGTTATTGCAGAGAGAAGTGTTCTCATCCAAGAGTGTCTACAGTCCGTTCTCCATTTCAGGTTCTTTTCCAGTCCGCCAAGTGCACTCGTATGGTTTCTGTCTCCTCAAGATTCAGCTCCTAGCTCCCTGGAATCATCATACACACCTGCGTCTCTTACTAGAAGAGCTGACACACAAAATATTTCCACTTGGGGAAAGACCATATCTCTTATTGTTGAAATTCGACAATCTAAATCTTTAAAGCAGATGCTAGAAGCACAACATTATACTTGTGCTGGGTGCCACAAGCATTTTGATGATGGCAAGACTTTGATACGGGATTTTGCACAGACACTTGGATGGGGCAAGCCTCGACTTTGTGAATATACTGGTCAATTATTTTGCTCTTTGTGCCATACAAATGAAATTGCAATCATACCTGCAAGAGTGTTGCATAACTGGGACTTTACTCAATATCCAGTTTCGCAATTTGCTAAATCTTATCTGGATTCTATACACGACCAGGTAATATGAAGACTACCACACCATTCTTTGTGATTAAATTCTGTATATGTTATGCCAATGAATTGCAACTGCATGAGTAAGCAATATCTGACATTTTTAACATTTTACATCCAACTTAATCTTTCTATGATCATTTGTTTTGCAGCCCATGCTTTGCGTCAGTGCAGTTAATCCATTCCTTTTCTCGAAGGTTCCAGCCTTGCTTCATGTTATGGGTGTGAGGAAGAAAATAGGCACCATTCTTCCTTATGTTCGTTGCCCATTCCGTAGGTCAATCAACAAAGGACTTGGGTCTCGAAGATATCTTCTAGAAGGCAATGATTTTTTTGCACTGAGAGACCTCATTGATCTTTCCAAAGGAGCCTTTGCAGGTTAGATTCTAATAACAAGCTTTATCTCATATCATGCATGTCTGTTTCTTTGTTATCACGGAAATAAGACAGATTTATGAATTTACCTCTTATAGCCTGATCTGATATGTATGTGTGCCGTGTGCGCATATATATTTCTTGACGTACTATCTTTGTGACAGTGCTACCTGTGATTGTGGAAACTGTCTCAAGGAAAATTCTGGACCATATAACAGAGCAGTGTCTCATATGCTGTGATGTGGGAGTCCCCTGTGGGGCACGACAAGCATGCAATGACCCTTCATCCCTCATTTTCCCTTTTCAGGTGGGCATCCACAGTTATATTATACAATGATTATGTTTCCTATTCATGTGGTTAATACGTTCGTTCTTTTTGGTCTCTATTTATTTTCTTATATGTTTCTGAAATCTGTACTTTATGAATTGGAGCTCTGGGCATTTGTCAAATCACGTTAGTGGGCGCCACACACCTCGCCTTTAAATTTTCCATTTTTACCAACAGAATCAAGCACTTAAAATCCCAATGAGCATATAGGCTGCCTTTTGAAATTAAATCACAAGGTTTTGCAAATGTGTCCTCGTTTCTCAGATCAGCTGAACTTTTTGTTTCCTTTACTAGGAAAACCTTGAATTCCATATATTGAAGATGAATTCTAGCTGTTATAATCTGACTGTGAAGGTTATTGGCAGGAGGATGAGATCGAAAGGTGTCCATCTTGCGCATCAGTATTCCACAAGCCTTGCTTCAGAAAGATCATGGAATGCACTTGCGGGGCACACCTCAGGGAAGACGAGCCAGCGCAGCTCATTAAAAGGGCAACCTCTGGGGTCGGGGCTGAGATCAGTGGTTTTCTAGACTTGTTTGGGGGAGGTTCGGGTTCCGGATTACTCTCTGGATTGTTTTCAAAGGCGAAGCCGGAGAAGCCAAGGGAACATAAAGCCAGCGACAACGTCATTTTAATGGGTTCGTTGCCAAGCACTTCTTTATAACCACCCCTAGTATCATACATTCATTTTGCTTGATTTGAAATATGGAAATTGTATTCATTGCACCTGGTATTGAATAATCAAAACAGTACATGCCAAAGGTCGTTGTAGCGAAAACCCTAAGGTTGGACGAAAGTATATTCTTTATGGCTGGTTCCTTGTAATGTACATCACACGTTTCAAGTAAATTTCAGGTAAATCTAGGCTGTTTGAATTTGTAGCTCAAGTTTTTGTTTGTTGTAATGTTAGCGGTAAAACCCGCTTTTCAATCATTGCCATTTGGCACAGATATTTCAGTGTTGTATACAATCAGGATAGACACATAATTATATACAAATTGTGATGGGGCAGGGGTTTTCAATTAATTAATTGGGTTCCGACTTCACATCGGAATTCTCTTGGAATGAGTATATAAAGGCATTTAAGCTAAAATGGTCTATGAGATTGGCATAACTCTTCAATTTGGTCCTTGAGATTTGAAATAGATAGAAATGACTCCTGAGTTTGTCCACACCACAGTCAACCACTTTGGTCGTTCAATTGAGAAATCTCTGTTAAATAAGGATCAAAATAACAAAAATGTTTTCAATTTAATATACAATTGGCCAAACTCAAGGGCAACTTCATGGAAATACCAGAATGATTGGCAGTGGACAAATTCAAAGGTCACTTCTATTGATTTTAAACCTCAGGAACCAAAATAAGGAATTATGTCAAATCTCTAAGACTATTTTGGCTATAAAAAAAAAATTGTGGGGAATTTACAAAAGTAGATTAATTGAATGGTAGAAAATATATAATGCAACTTCCTTCTGATTGCCTAATGTGCATGCAGTTGCAAGTTGCAACCTACAAGTATATGCCATTGATTAAGGAAATGCTTTGAGCATCCAAAACTTAATCACCAAGCAAACAATTTCCTTTAACCTGTTGAAGGCATTGTCTCCATAACCCTAAACTCGGATCTTTGGACTTCTGTCTGCTCTCCTTCTACGAAGAATTTCGGCAGTATATTTCTTTCGGGATACTATACGATGTCTGGTTTCAGCTCGACGCCTGAACTACCTCGCGCATGATACGATTCAGGGTATCGCGTCGAAAACAGATGGTGTTTGAGCTTCATTATCAGAACAAAAATGCTGTAGCATGGGATGTGCAGTAGACCGACCGACAAGTACCACAGCGGAGCATATGGAGATGACAAGTCTAGAAATGGATACGGCCACCTGTATTTGAAAGGCGAAAATCGTCACTACGAGTAGAAGCTTATGGTGCAGCGAAATGACACGAAAATAGGTTTCTGTAGAAATTTGGAAAACTGAATATAACTGTAACATTTCTGAATATGGGAAACCAAAAGAGATGGCGATTTTACCAGAGCTTGACACAAGCATGGAAGAGCCACTGGAAAACTACATAAACGATTGTCCACAGGAAGAAATACCCGATTCGGAACCAGGGAAATGGCTGAAAATCGGAAAAGTTATTGATGTTAATCGTCAAGTATTCATAAGGACTGGAAACCCTACAGTGAGTCGAAAATTTTGAGCTGAAAGGTTCTATTTACCAAGCTATTCAACGCGGTATCAGCGAGCAAGAAAACTGCGTTGATCGTGTGCATATTTATGATCAGCTGCCAGGAAAAGATCAAACATATTATCTACTACCGTAATCGTTGATTACACGAACCAATCACGAGATTATGAAGCGATTAGAAAATCGAAAACAGACAGAGAAGATGAGCAGAGTATTATATGGCTTATTGGACTTACAAAATTCAAGTTGTAGTCTTTGATTGTAAGAAAAGGAACAAGTACGAACCAGAAGACACAATCCGTGAGAAGGACAGCGCCGGCATTCATCTATTTACACGTAAACACGTAGCGATTAAGCTAATTAAACAAGAGTCTTGAAGGCCAACTTAAAATTTATAGTTACAAGTTCTAAGACGTTTTCATTACCTGGAAAATTATTTGGAAGATATAACCCGAAAAGCCAGCAAGTTGGCGAACTTGAGGTTGTTCGACATGGGGGCCTGAGGGTTTCTCTATGATTGAATCTTTGGAAGAACCTCCATGTGAAGGAGTCACATGAGCCGAGCCTTGCTCTGTATCCACCTCAAAACTATCAACCCTATCGCCGGCAGTTTTCTTATGGTAGCGGTAGCATCCCCGAATGGAGAGCAACGATCCAAGCTACACATGGAAATCGACATCAGCATCAACGGAAAAATAAGTAAAAGAAGAACAAATGTTCTAGCAGAATAAAAAAGCTTACCCCAAAATAAATTGTGATCAAAGTAAAAGTCCACCTGTCCAGAAAGAAGCCAAATAACTACAGATTAGGAGAAGCACTTCTGAAAAAAGCTGGACTCATATCTTCACAGATAGACTAAAGTGCTATTGAGTTCATCAAATGGCTCAAGAGATGACAACTTACTGTGTGTAGTAGAGAAAAATGCTGCCTCCATCCACGGAAGCGGTAACGATGAGCAGAACCAAGAGCACAAAGAAAGCGAAAACCCGAAAAGCCAGAAGCCAAGCCGGGTGAATTCCCTTGAGGCATGGTCTCCAAGTCTCATCCTCAAACAATGTTCCTGCAGACGTTTGTTGCTGGTTTTCTCCGCTGCTACCGCGCTTTGAACGGCGCGGTCTTCCTTCGTATTTGTAAACCAGAATCACCGAAAGAGTCATCGCAATCAAAATCCATATCGTGCAGAGCAAGACCCTCCAGTTGAGCCAGTAACTTGAAGTTGTTGTGTCTGCAGTCATGATTGGCTGCCAAGAAGAACCTTTTGGAACTCCTGTTATAAAACCCATGGTGTTATAACTTTTTTACTTAATTATCTGATTGTTTTTTCACCAAACAATGATTCGGGATGCCTGGAAAATTCAAGTTTATGGAGTGGATAATGATTTATTTAAGAAAACTGAGAAAACCCAACAGGCAGAATATGTTTTCGAAAGCGAAGAGCTTAAAAAAAATCACAAAAAAAAAATTAAAATAAAATAAAATAAAAGAATAGAGTGGAGGAATAAATAAGGTGATGAAAAAGTTAAAAGTTGAAATGCTCAAAGGAACAACCAAATGACGAACAAATTTATGAAAATCCAGATCCAGAGAGGAAGAAGAGAGAAGACAGATAATATAATACTAATGCAAAGAAACCAAATTTGCAGAAGAACTTGGTTTTTGTAGGATCAAATGCAAACCCAAAAACCAGAAAACAAAACCCTACTCGTATATGAACACATTAAGGATTGAGATTACGCAGAGATTCCAAACTTTAGGTGGATTTTTGCAGAGAAAGGCAAGACAAAACCGACATTTTTCGAAATATTACTAAATTATACAAAAAATGGGATGAAAAGAAGCAGAAGCAGCTAAATTCAAAGCAAAGGAAAGGTTGATACTTACAAGGGAAAGCAAAGAAGACGCGGTGGTGTTTCACAGGGATTGGAGATGCTTTGCTTCTTTGCTATGGAGGGAGAGAAATCTAGAGAGAGAAAGTTAGGGGGGGGGGGGAGGTGGGAGAGAGAGAGAGAGAGGAAAAGGATGGGATGCTTTGAGCAGAAGGCATAAGGCTTCCCCACTTCCCTTTTTTACATATATATTCAGGTTGCAAGAAAGACCAAAGTCCTCTGGAGTTGCAATCTCTCTCTCTCTCTCCCCCCACATTTCCATGCAAATATTAAATTACTGATAAATTGTAAGCTTTCATCAACTTTCTTGGATAACCATATTTTTGTTAATATTATGTCTTTTTTAAGTTACCAATATTTAGAAAAAAGCAAACAGGGAACAATTGTCTGTGAATCTTTTTCATTGGAATTCATGCTTGAGGGTGCTTTCTGAGTACCAAGACTAGTTTTTTTATCCAGGAATAAAGCAAACTGTGTTTGGGTGGATGTGAGTCAGTTAACCCGTTCAAAAGCAACTTATTAAAAAAAAACACATAAAAAAACCCATTCAATTCAAAAGCACCTTATTAAAAAAAAACACATAAAAACTCTCTCTCTCTCTCTCTCTCTCTCTCTCTCTCTCTCTCTCTCTGAGTAATTTTAAGGTAAAATTGTAACAAAATCTCATGCAGTGTTATCAATTTATTTCAATGTATTCTAAATTAAAAGGGTTATTAGATAATAGAAATGCTTTTTGAAGAAGTACTTTTTTGAAAGCTTTTAGATTTGAGATAAATATTTCAACAATTTTTATGATGATGTGTAATTTAAGTGTATATTAGCATAAGTGTTCTCCAAAAAAACAGTTCCAAACCAGCTCTAATATATGTGAATTAGTAAAATGTATGTGAAAAGTAAGTAGTAGTAGTTTCTATTCAAAACTATTTGTTGGCGATTCATAGAACTTCATGTTTACGATTAAAACTCTTTCATATTATAAACACTTTATAAAAATCGTTTCTTAAAAAAAAAATCAATTAAAGGTCATTTAGCCATCAAACCATATATAAAAAAAGATCAAAATAAATAAGAATATAACGTTCTTCCTTTCGGGATTGCAGCCTTCTCCAGCAAACAAATGAAACTGGGCAGTTCAATCAAGATAAATTGTTTTTGGAATTGGTAAAAGCATTACGAAATGCCTATGTATTTCCTACAATAGATTGACTAAACAACCTTAATTTTAATTTATTTTTAAAGAAAGAATTTTACAGAGTAATTTATAATATAAACGGTTCTGATGGTATTAACCAGTGTTGGAAAAGTAATTGGGTAAATGAGTTGCCATGATTTTGTGACAGAACTTAGTTTTGACCAATGATTAGGGACCCACGAAGTCATGATTTTTTCAATCAGAATAGACATAATGAAAATGGGAAGTAGGACCCATTAAATTCAGAAACTTGCATGGCTTATTGAATACATATATGGGGTCTCTAATGTGTAAAAGAGCAATGATCGTGTTAACTTTCAGTTAAAGCATAAGATTGTATCTGTTCATAGCCTCAGAGATCGTGACCCACCTTGACTTACTTGTCTGTTAGACCGGACATGCCACCTATTTGATTCACTTTATATCATCTTTTGGTTGTGCATTGTATATCATTCGGTGTCCGTAATAATAACTAGCTCGAGAAAATCTTTGATCAGATTATCTGATCACGTGAATATTATGATTAACAATGAAAAAAATATGAGAGATTCGACATCTTTTGATTATGCATTCTATATTATCGAGTTTTCATGATGAGAATTGATTCGAAAAAATCTTCAATCAAGTTATCCGATCAAATGAATAGTCCTACTAACATTATACAAGTACGAGAGATTCGTCATTTCAATCTCAACCTTCTCTATGCCAGTCACACTCCTTCAATTGGCCTGTTCCAACCAACATAACAAAACGATGAGGGACTACATATGTAATTTCGTCTGATCTCACTCTAGTACCTACTCGTAAGACTACCCTATACGGCAGCCTTACTTATGGATGTGGTGTCCACTTGACGGATTGTTCTGTTTTATAAAAGTGGACCAAAATTCACCGCCCTGAGTGGCTTTATAGCTTTCATCATAAGTTATAAATCAAAAGAGAAAAAGAAAAAGACACCGAAGGATGACAATAAAAGAGAAAAATAAATAAAATTTAGAAAATTAACAGTGGTTAATTAAATTAATTAATATTACATCCATACCCCAGAACGAGTGAAAGTTTTGCAGAGCATTTTCCTTTGGTTACTTTTTTTTTTCTTTTCTTTTTTTTTTTTTTTAAAAAAAGACAATCAGTTGCAAACCACGATTATTCAGTTTTTATGAACTTGAAGAGGCTATGGGAAATTTTACTCTGCCCACAAACTCTTCAGCTCAGAACTTCGAACATAAAACCTCCGAACTTTAGTTTTTATTTTATATTTTTTGCTTTTGATTAAATGCTACATAATATGAACGTGTGACGTGGATGGAAATTGACAAGTGCATCGCAAAGCACAAATCTGGGCGGGCAGAAGGGGAAAGGGATCCTCTCCAGATCCTTTCCACCAAATTCACCCAATAAATCAATCCAGACCTTTGAAATTTGATTCAACGGTCACAAACAGGGGATCCCTTTAAAAGTTATATTAACTTTAGTCGTTGGATCAAATTTCAAGGATCCGGATTAATTGATTGGGTGGATTTGGTGGAATGAATCCGGAGAGGATCCCTTTCCGCATAAGGGACGTCACTAATTGCTTGGACAATGGGCAACCATAAATGCATTCAATAATATTTTGTCAAAAAAGTTTATTGTATGAAACACATTTACGTAGTATAATTATTATATGCGTTATAGTATAAATCCGTCGTCAACATGACACACACATTAATTAGATCATGTGGGTGTTAGTCACACAATTTTTTTTTATCTCACATTTCTCTTGTTAATTTTTGTCATTTGATCTTCTTTAATTCGATCCGATTTCTGAAAATTGATAGAGAAGAAAGTAAAAATAGATATGTGAATAGAACCATCCTATTTGAAACGCTTATTTTGTTCATGAATTTTTTAAGATTTGGAGGATTATTCTAACTACTATGCATGTTCTTAAAATTTAAACGGATATGTAGTAAAATAACGAAATGATGAAAAAAACATAGTTCTTATCTAAAAGAAATATAGTTCGATTGTTTTTTTTTTCGGGCTACTATGAAAGGATACTATACTAATTCTATAATGATGGAAAAAAAATAGTGACAAAAGAAAAAATTGTAAGGTTTGACATCTAAATTACGTGTATTATGGGGCTGAGACACAAAATATTGTACCTACTTTAGCTTCCTAATTTTAAGGCCCACAAGGTCGGAGCTTTAAATTTGTTCTAGTTGGGGCTACCAAAAAAACTAATAAAACCTTATTATGGGCCCTCCAAGGCTAAAATCCTAACTTAGGCACTGAAAGATATGAATGTATGCTTGATAATAGATACTTACTAGCTAGTAATGCCCGCGCGTTGCTGCGGGATTATAAATTCCAAGAATAACAAATTTGTAAGTGGAAGTACCTCAATGAAAGCCTTCTGGAAGCAATACAACACCTTTTGGAACATTTGCCTCATTCTGGTTCAGAGTGCATAATGCGCAAACAGTTTAAGCATTTCTCAGCATCACAGAGCATCATATTTCCTAGGATTAATCAACAATGCCTCCTCCAGCTTTGAAATAGCAGCTGGGCAAACAAACACAAATCCGCATTTACAGATTTTCACTTCACTCCCAAATAAATAATTAATAAAAATAACATGGAGAATTTCTACGTCTAAATAATTAATAAAAAAAAAAGGTATTTCGGGGAAATTCAAAGTTAGCACCTTGAGTTAGCTTTTTTGATTCCAGTACATTCTAAAACTGAGACAGATTGCTCTCTATTTTCTCTCATAATACAGATGTGCAGTTTCTATTTTTTGATCAACCAAAGCATAGTCAACATCTTTTACAGTCGCTTATATTGCACCTCCTTACATGATTGAAAAAACAATGGAATCACAATTAACATTTGTCAACAGAATTTTAAAATCATATATCCAATCTCACAGAGAGATTACAATCAAACAGTTGTTATCTGGCGATGAAACTTAAAACCCAAAAATGCACCTTAATGTCCTAGAGAGAACAAAATTGCAAGCAAAAGTAGAATATTGAAACAATACCGTGATAATCACGAAATAAGTTTATGCGTTTGCTAATATTGATTTATTAGGTTCCAACTTTGTCTCAATTTATCATTTTCAGTTTAACTGAAAGTGTAAACATTTAGGCACTTACCAAGAAAAAAGCAATTAATTATTTGATGCTACTTACAAAACCAATTGGCATATATAGGCTTTGGTTAAAAGGTTAAGTATTTACCAAAAGATTCCAGCTGCAAAAATGCATGGAATATCTACAAAGTGTCTGATAAATCCAGAAATAGTCATGCTTCCAAACAACTGAACACAATTGATACCAAAATGCAACAATTTCTTTAAATTGGTCACATTAATCTATTGATGCACGAATAGAAAATTGTTGTATATATTCAGTTTCACCTTTTGCAAGGAGTAGTTAATGATATCCAAGAACGATGTGAAGACATATCATGGGTTAAACTATCTATGAGTTGAAAAAACTAAAACGCATTGTTCAGAGCAAATGAAATAGCTAAAAAGCAAATGAAATAACTAAGTTACCATTCTTTATCTTAAGCAGCAAAACTCCCATTCCATCAGGTTCCTTTCCACTTCATCATATCCTCTGCAACAAAATAAACCATATCAACATCGAAGTGATATTCACCAATTGAAGTCCACATGATACAAAGCCTCGGCAAAAAAAAGGACCAAAAAAGTAGTTAATAAGAAACAATTTCATCAAGCAAAGATACAAAGTGGACTATAGGATTTTATCAGAAAACTCATATATTAATTCTTTATAACCCAGCAAGAGATTGGCCAATCCATCATTGAGTTGAGTTCTTATACATATTTGACTGCGTAAACCAAAAGCTCAAAGTGGGATTCAAAAAGTCAACACGTTCAAATGCTATATTTTTATAGGGATGTAACACTTGGTAATTTCTTGAGTAGTAAGTTCCCATTCTTTATCTAGCTAATTTCACACGCCTACGACAAATAAAATAGTTGAACAATTTCAGTATAATTACCAAATTTTGACCATTCAAAACCAAATCTCCTTTTTTTGTACCTACTAAAGTACAAATGAATATCAAAACAAAAACCTCCAATTATCATAACAATCCCTTTCTATCTTAGTTTTTGAAAAAGGAAACACAGATGGAAGAAAAAATTCAACAATTTGATCTTGTAACTCATAACCACAGAGAGTCAAAAGCACTTCAATTCTGTAAGGATGGAAAAGGGGTGCAAATAACTTATGCCCAATCGAAATCACTGCCTAATTGTCAACTTTTATAGACAAAGATTAGAAAAGTTTAGAATCAAGCACCATAGTTAAAGTTTCTTTAGATTTTCCAATGTTCATAATCATTTTGCTGCTATATAAACTGATGTATTGGCAATGGCATAGAATGCCTATAAAGCTACTTACAGCGCAACAAATTCCAATGTATATATACTGATGTTCTTGCCATTGCAAACAGCCAGCTTCTACTAACCCATTGAAGTTTCAATAAATATTATCTATTCCAATAATTGAATCGAAGCCTCCTTCCAAAAATCCTAATCGCAAAACCAAGAATCACAATCAAAACAAATGATACAAACACATACACAGAGATATACACTTATATGTACTTAGCTACTGTACAAACCACTCTTTTTTCATAACCTTGGCTTCAAAGTAAACCTTCATACTACACTTCAACCGCCTCGTTATTTCTTCCTGCAAGTGTTCGAACGAATCTGTAAAATAAAGTGAAAGAGTAAAACACAGGTCTTCGCAGTCTTCAAATGTAATTTCAGCAAAACCCAAAAACCTGAAAATCTAATAAAAATGAAGAACAAATATTACAAATCAGATAACCAAAATTACAAAAAAAAAAAAAAATCAACATGCATCAAACGGAAAACTAATCTATAAAAGCGAGGAAATCCATTTGCAAATATGCTTTTTGGTTTTGAACCTGGAAAGTTTGGTATTTTGACCAGCACACCGAGGAATCGAAATAGAGACCCGATGAATGATGATTTCTATGGTTTAACCGCTGCGGAGCTAGCCGGAATCCACCAGGCACCAAAAATTGAGAGCGAGAAAGGGCGAGTTCGAGAGGAAGATAAGAGAAATCTGTGAGAAAGCAGCAAATACGAAGAGAAAAATCCAGAAGACGGACGAAAGAGAGCGGGTAGATGACTGACACGCGGACGGAAGGGACAAAACAGTCAATGGACTGCACAAAAGGGCAAGCAGCAAGGGAAACCAAGAAAAAACCCAGGGGCAAAACTGTCCCCCCACTGGTCATCCACAGTAGACTTCACTGAGTTTTAGTATATAAAGATATCTTCTTCAAATATAACAAGTGTATACATATGACTGCAGTCTGCAGCTCAATAACAAATTACTTGTGTTTGAGGGCATATGCCCCTAGTGAACCTTCATTGACTCCGTTCATGCCTATCCACGCTGGTACCACCATCTCCGTCATTGTCCCTAGTCCACTTTTCGGACAGAAGAATGTCTCCCACAAAGGGGGTTAGAGAATAGGGTGAGTGAGGACATGTTGGTATACCTTGCAATTGTTAATTGAAGAACCCTAATTTTATTAACTTACTTTGTAACTGCTAAGTATAGTACTTAACATTATAATTAAGTACTTATAGACTATGAAAAATGATTAGATCCCACACCTCACGACCCATTGCCGTCACCACAGGCTGATTGAATAAAAATTTGTTAATTATGCTAAAGAAGTTTAAGAATATGATTTAGGAGGCAAACAAAAGAAATCATTTCTCCATACGTCATAGATACTTCTGTTCTAACAGAAGATCCCTCTTCAATTAGTTCATGCCGAAAGCTTGAATAGGTTAGCAAAAATGAGGTTCATTGGTAGACACTAGACTTTTCAAAGTAATTTTCTTTTCAGATATTCTAAACCGCTTTTAGCATATGGAAATAGAGATTCAAACTTGGGTGTAAAAGGGTATGCACATTGCCAAAGCCAGCTAATCAAATCCATATATGTGGCTTTTTTAGTAACTTTCGATATCCTACACTACTCTTAACTACCGAAATGAGAAATTCTTAAACGCCGAGAAAAGCTTTCTTGTCTGGAGATTTATATTCTCTCAATATAGCATTCATTGAGTGACTTGAGTCTCACAAGAAGAGAGAGGCATGCACCCTTGCATGCATAAGTTGTTCCCCATGCCCCCATCCACACTGTCCCAATAACAATACTCGTTGTTTTCGTTTGATTTACTCAATCTGAATGCCAAAATAAAGAGGAACGTATAGACAAAGAAATAGAGTGCGATTATCAATTTCTACACGAATATATTTTTTTTTAAATGCAGCTAGAAATATGAATGGTAAAAACTTATTATTCGACTCCGAAGGACACATGAGCTTCCCAAAACAATTGTTTAAACAAGAACATTACGTAAGTTCAAGGAGGAGCTCAAAAAACTCCTTGTTACGACCAGAGAGAAACCGATGGGGACTGTTTTCAAATTTCAGTTCAGTAGAAGTTTCAAGACAACACTACAAATCAAACACAAATTAACATATTAGGATTAACAACTTCACACATACGTGACACCATATGAACAATTAAATTCGACATTGCATAACGAACAAATCTGGTTCTTCATCCTGCATTTCATCGAACATACTCAGCACTTTCGTGTTCACGTCATGCACCATGCAACCGAAACGTTAAGAAAGATCAAGCGTACGATGCCAATGAAGAATGACCATCACATAAGTCCCACTAAATAGCTAAGCTTGGATTTCAAACTACTTGCATGCATCCAACCTCTAGGCTACTGAGAATCTTACACAAACATATTCCCTCACAAAACTGTCACAAAACCTAAACTTTCATCTTTACAAATTAATCATTTACACTTGAGATTACTGAATAAAACACAGAATAATTTTTCATGAAATTCCGCTGCCCTCTAAAGGGATGCCACAACTCACTTATCAAAATAAGGTGTCAACGTCGTCTCCTAATATCGAGAGGGAAAAGGGGGCAATAGCCACGTTAAACGCTTGTGAACTTACCCTATTGATGTGTTTCATCTCAAATTCACCCTCCTGCATTGTATGAAAACAAAATATGGGTCAAATTTTTTAAAGTAGCATTTAAGTTTGTAGATTTAAAACAAAGGATATTGATGTATGTATATTTGATTTAAGTTTGTCTGCATCAAATGTTCAAAACAAAAAAAGAAAACATCGAAGCTTCGACTAATAACTGAGAAGAAAAACTCTACATTAAATGATTTGAAGTAGCGCTTTTTCCATGAGTAAATTCTCACCCATTTCAAACATCAAAATCACATCCGTCACAAACACAAACATACCAAATTAACAGTCCTAGGGTCTCTAAAACATTTGCACTAAGAAATCAGGTATTCTCTAAATCCACAAATCCAAACGCAACATAATCGTATTTTAGTTCAAAGAAGAAGAAACTCAAATTATTTGGAAACCGCAATTAAAAGAAAATTGATCAAATGAACTATCAAACTTTTTTCCAACAATGGAAGCACGTGAACACAGGTTTTAACCCAAGACTTTTACTCCAAGGTCCATTCACTGCTCATAGAGCTTATAGGGACATATAAATGTCCATAACCACCAACTTTAGACAAAAAAACCTTCACTATGACAGAAAAACCGGGGGACAGCCTCACGACACACCATTGCCGGAGTAAGTGACTTTTGATGGGGTTCACACCTATAGGTAACTCAATATGAATGGATGGATTCATACTCCATCATACATATGCCCAAAACACAGGCATCAGTGAGCGCTGTAATTGGAATGTGATAATGTGATTGATAATGACCTAGGTAGCATCCCGAAATTCTTTCTGATAAGATGATCATATGTATGCACTGTTGGAAGCAATTTGAGAATAAAACTCGGAAAATAACATTTTCAAGTTAGTTTCTCAATGTTTGGGCTATAGAGCTACTTTATTTGAGATATTCATATAATGTTAAGCATCACTCCTTTAGATATGACACATAATGAGTAATTGAGAAGGATATCCAATCGCTTAAAGCACATCGAAGAGAGCTTTCTATTTCTGATTGTATCAATTTACAGAACCAATAAAATGTACTTGTTAAATATGCTTTCATGGAGGAACAAAAGAAAAGAGAAGTGTCCCATCTTACCATTCTGCCATTAGGAGTGCTTAATGGACATGCTGATGAGTATTCAAAACTCGTTTGAGGAAGAATAACTGGCTGTTCACCAATAACACCAATCCCCCTGCGATGAGCAAAAGCAATAAACAATACATTTGGTAAAAGACAAAGAAATATCTACCGTTAACTGCAAGTACAAAACTGAGAATAAGATATCCAGAGGAGAGAACAAAGCGCAGAAAAGAAATCACTCACCACACATTTTCGGATTTTCCATTGGCATCTGTGATAATCCAATGCCTTCTAAGAAGTTGAACAGGGCGATCTGAGTTATTGGTAATTCGTATTCTATATGCAAAGAAGTGTTGCCCCTTCAAAGGCTGACTTCTGCCCTCTATGTACACGCTCCTAACTTGAACACGAATACCCTGAAGAAACAAAGATTTCACTTCAATTCATCAAATTGAATTAGCATGTGCACTTTTCTATCAAAATTCTTTTTCTTTTGCTCGCATTCTACCAATCTTCACCCTATCCGCTCCAGCAGTATCTTATTTCCCCAATTGAATTATCGCGGGCAGTCACGACTATTACATTTCTATAAACTTAAACAAAAACAGATTGAACCAAAACAGCAATGTAAATATATGATGAGATAGAGCATTCTCGTACCAAAGTTGTTGCATCACTTGAACATTTCAAGAAAGAGTAAGGGGCAATTTCCTTTAGCTCATCTCGATATTTCGCGGCCTCCTGAGCACATCAAGATTAAGACTTCTAATGAATTTGGCATCGTATTTTTCAGCTCAATGCTAATTAGCAATAAACACCCTCCAAATTAACTCAATTTACCTCAAATCTCTCTTCAGCAATTGCCTCCTTAATCCTTCTTCGGAGCCACAAAACCGGCTCTTCTTCTTCCAGCAACTTCAACGAGTCCCTTATCCTCGCCGCCTCTTCATAATCCTGCAATTCAAGCTCAAAAACCGTAATCCTCTGTTTGGCGTCCGAGAAAACGAAGGAAAGTGCGAGAAAGTTTGAAATTTGCAATTTACTCACCTCGGATTTCGCCGCGACCTCCATTTGCTGCTTCAACAAAGCCCAGCTCTGAGTCCGAGACAAAAACGAACTCGGTTTCTGGCCCGCACCGGAACTCGGACTCGAACTCGGAGTTCCACTCCACCCGTTCCCCCCGCTCCTCTCTGCGGCGCACGCCACGACCCGACCCGATTTCCTGAAATCCCAACGCTCCGAACCGACTCTCAAGTTCCGGACCTCCAAATTCACGACGCTGAAGCTCCGTCGACCCGGAAAACACGTTCTCGTCGTCCCTGGACAGCAATCACTGCAGACTTTGAGGCTTAATGAATGCATTATTATCTTCTATCTCCGATTTTCCCTCACTTTCTTTCTCGCTAGGAAAATTTGAAAGATTTTCTCGGGAAAATTTTTATAGATTGAAGGGTCAAAATTGGAGCGAAATGTGAGGAAATTGGAGCGCTTTACATTTCCGCTCGCACGTGTTTTGCGGGATATGCTTAATATCCTAATTAATTTCTATATTAGCATAATTCATTTTATCCATAATTTTATTTTTGGATTGTAAACTGCTAAACTAGCCTTACTAAATAATGCTGACGGCTGCAGATGGGACAGCATAGCGGGGCAGTTTGGGAAATGTGACATTAGGGGATATTTTTGTTTTGCCACTTGTGATTTGTGAGGTGTAGTATGTCTGACCTCAAATTGGGGATTTTTTGGCTAATTATGGAAGAAAATGTTACACGTGTGTTCTTTTGAATTTTTGGAACGAGGTTCTTTCCGAATCTTCTTGCGAGAATCTTGGAGATCCTCAAATCGTGTCTGTTCATCATACATCGTGCAGTCAAAAATTATTTAAATATTTTTATTTAAAATTAAATATAAATAGTACTTAACGAAAACTGATTGCACGATATACGATAAACAAACACGATTTGAGGATCCCCATAATCCTCACAAAGAGAATCCGAAGAGTATCCTCCTAGGAATTTTTGTATCTTCTTGTTGAGGGGGTTGGGTAAGTTATTTACTGCGACGTCTCGTATCAAAAAAATTTATATATATTCTTGTATTATTAACATATGATGTTAAGATAGTGGTATATACGTATCGTGTAAGTCATTCATTTTTTGTAAGATGAAAAACTTATTTACCTCTATAATATGCTAATATGGAGATACTTTAAATGAATAACATGATTTTTCGATTAAAAAAAATGAATAACGTGATGTTATTTGTTTCAACTTTTCCATAAAATAATGTATTTGATTTAAGATCGTCATAATGATTTATCCGGTGCATATAAGTTTCACTTTTTACTTGAAACTACACACCTACAAATTCAAATCTTGAAACTCCAATGGATCATCAGTTACAAAGTGTCATAAAAATATATACATGTGTGTGTAAAATAATTTACGTAAATTTATATGTAAAATTACTATTTCTTAAAAAAAATATGTAAAATTACTATTTGTCGCATTAATTAAGCATGCATTATTACATATATTACGCATGTTTTATTATTATTATATATTAGGCGGTGAATTTATAACATTAACGGTTTTTTTTAACAGCTGTTAGCACTCAAAAAATCTCATTCTACACTTCTCATAATTCTTTCTAAGGGTTTTTATCACAAATGATCCCTAACATTGGCTTAACTCATCATTTTAGTCCCTAACATTCAAAATCAATAAATTTGGTCCCTCACATTTGATGCCACATATCAATGTGGTCCTTCCGTCAATAATCCATTCAATCCTCTGTTAAAAATGCATGTGCTGTCTCACTTGACCCTTTAAGAGAGGGGCATTTTCGTCCAATCACCTCACTTGTTGAATTCAGCAACAAACTTTTGCCGATTCACGTGCTGACTCGACCTTTTCCCTTTCTTGCTGAATTCGGCGACAAACATTTGTGATTATTTCCCTTCGAAAAGTTAAAATGAGGCATTTTCCCACTAAAAAAAAATGCCCATCCATTTTATTAAATGGTTTTGTGCAAAATGCTAATAGCATATCATTCCAAAAGAAATATATCATTTCAAAATGACATCTGTTCAAACACATAAGATACAACATCTATTAATTTGCATATTTCACTGTCAATAACATATTGTTTCAAAAGAAATAACCATTGTTCATAACAACATACCCATTTAATTCCAAAAGCATTAAACAACAACAACGTCTCATGTTTTCGAATGCAAAAACAAAAAACCTTAAATAGTTAGATAGTTTTCAAAGACTTTAAAAACACAACTAAGCTGCCAAATTTTCACCAAAACCTTCAATTAGGCCACACCTTCCGCATCTTCCACATACCTTATTACAATTAAAAAAAATACAAAGATTTATACTCTTCAAACTTCACACATACAAGCCTTGTTTAAGTTGATGTAGGCATGTTGTTAGTAGATTGAGTTACTCCTTGAGTGGATTGACCAGTAGATGCTTGATTTTGTTACTTTCCACATTTCTTGGAAGTATGGCCTTCTTGTCCACATGACCTACATGCACATGGCTTGTTATAAATCCATCTTTTCAACTTTTTCCCTTCATGACTTGTAATTGGGGGCTCTTCACCAAGATCTTTAGTCCTATTTTTCTTTGGTCTTCCAATTTGCTTCTTGTAAATGGGAGGATCAATTTTGGCGGTCTCATTACTAGGCTTGTCCCATTGATCTTGGCCAGGTAGTGGTGAAATAACCGGTGCATAAGCCCTTAGGTATGTTGCTTACTTGTAACAGTCATCAACATACAAGGCAACATCTTGTCCCTTCCTCAAAATACAGGCAATAGCATGAGGACGGGATTCCATAAAGATCCCATCTCCTCCGAGAACAAGTTTTAGCACCCAAGTCAATTGCAAACTCTCTTCCAGAAAGGTCTGATACTTGATATTTCACATCTCAAGCTAGATATACAATGCAATGCCCACTTTCATACTTGAATTTTTCAATAATTTTCTCAATTCTTGGCCCCACAGATCCTTTCCATTTCAAGGCAGCAGCTCTTTTATTTGCCATCCTCATTGTCAGGTTCTTTCTTATGACTTGCAACATTGTCAAAATTGGTTTGTCCCTTGCCTTGACAATTGATGCATTGAAAGCTTCACACAACTTGTTAAGTAAGATGTCACATTTGTAATATGTCCTAAAATGTGACCTACTCCAATTATATGTTGGTTTAGCATGTAACCAGTCCCAAGCATCTTTTTTTTCTTGTTGCAGGTTATCCATGATGTCTTGCCTCCAAAGAATGGTTGTAGCTCTTGCTGCTTCCCACAAAGTTTGTTTCAAGGCAAGACCACTGTATTTTTTCTTGAAGTTATTATACAAATGCCTCACACAATGCCTATGCTCTGCATTGGGCATCAGTCGTTGAATTGCATTCCCTAACCAATTATGCTTGTCTGTAATGAAAGCATATGTTGCTGAATTCTCCATACTCAAATCATCTATTAAAATCTCCAAAAATCACTCCCATGTACTCTGATTTTCAACTTCCACAATTGCATAAGCAATTGGGAACATCCCATTGTTGCCATCAATGCCTACTGCTGCCAAAATTTGATATGGATGCTGCCTTTTTCTCTGAGTGTCTATAGTAGGATCTCCCTTTTCTGTTTGCTTTTTTGTTGCCAATTCCTTATGTTGCCAAAATTCATCAAATCCATCATCCCAATTCAAGGATTGTGCTATCTCAAACTCTTGCACCACATTACTTGAAGCAGTGCCCTTGTCACTTGCTCTAATTGCCTTCTCATTCTTGTCAACCGTATATAATTCAACTACCTTATTCTTTGGCATATCATCGATTAAATTTGTCAGTCGTGCATCACATACCATTTCTTCAAATATACCCACTTGCAACTTTTTATAGTGGCTCAACTTCACCTTGTACCCCAATTCCTTTGCTGTGTTATGACACTTAACCAAGAACTGGCAGTCACCAAAAACCCAATCTAAGTATATAATTTCACCTCCACTGTAATGTTATTTATTTCCCTTCGTGCGAATCTGACCCTCATGATAAATTTTATATGTGAATTTATCAGGATTAGCTGTAAAATATTGCTTAATACATTAGTAAATCCAATGGTCAATTAGTTTTGAACCTCTAAATATAAGTCAATTAGTAAATCCAACGATCAAAACCCTAATGTCCATGCCATACACTAAAGACTAAAACAATAAAAATACACAACAACAACCATTCCAATGTCATTGAATAACTCCAAATCAGTAAAACTATGCAATCTTTAATACAAAATGACAAAAGAAAGGGAACAAGACCACAACAGTACATATATTCATCACCTACCCTAACCCCTCACCATCTCAAACTACACAAACCCCACCACCATATATCATAGGTATGAAGAAGGGCTATTGGAAACATCAAAAGTATAAAAAAAAAATCATAGAAAGAAGATACATAATACTCATCATATTTTGAAGGCTTTCCAGATTTGCGAAATTTCTCCTGACATGCTTATAGGTCACTAAAATTTTCTCACAATCCACAAAAGTTCAACTGATCATTCATGAAATTTAGAATTTTAGAGTCCTAATCTAAGTAGAACTGAATCTCTCTCGCCAAAATCCCCATTACCAAGCCTTAGCCTTTTCACATCTCTCTAACCAAAGAAGGAAAATGTATCACCAAAGAGGAAAAAGGTATTAGCGAAAAGGTGGGGCTAGTGACCCAAGTAGTGGGTGAGGCAATTTTTACAAAAATGTCCTCCATTAAAGGATCACGTGACCCTTTACCACAGTGGTGGAAAGGTAGAAGACTTGAACGAACTAAATAGTTGGAAGATCCAAGTCCATGATCAAGGAATGTTACTCAAATCAAGTAAACGAGGGTTGGCTCAATTGGTAATGTCTTTACTTTGTGTGACGCCCTTACTAAGGTTCGAGTCTCACTGCCAACAATCCTTGTTGATTCACAATCTATAATTTCCTACATAAATCCATACTATTAACAGTGGACAGTTAGATACCATGCGTAAGTCCTTCCAACTCAAAGTCGTGGACTCGTGAGTATGCCCTAACATTGGTAGTGAAAGTAACCAAACCTCTAAACTTTTTATTAAAAAAAGTCAAGTTGCTCATTGAACTTAGAACAAAGAATTACCTATAAGACACATTAGTATGATAGTGAAATTGGTATTAACCAATCCAAAGCTCAAAGGAGGCAGGTCAAAGTCTCCAACCAACAAGGTTTGGTATGACAAGTACTTGGCAAGTGGTACTCTCAAATTTGTCCTTCTCATCATGACTCCTCTCACCACAACAATTCCACCCATCAAAACACTTGTCTCCACTAGGCATTGTTGGTTATTAGAAAATATAAAGTTTTCACTTTTCGGTGTAACTGAAACACTGTTACATAATATTGTATTGATATTATGGAGAAATTTCTTAATGTGCCAGGAACACGGCTTAGTATATAAGTGTCGTAATACAATTGGTTGAGATTTTTTTTAAACTTTCAACCCCTGAGCCATGTGCCCAACACACTAAAAAATCTATTGATATTATGATATCTGTATTAATACTATAATATGATAAATTAGACTTGTTGGCCATCATATTACGACAAAGTGGGGTGGATGGGAAACAAAGGAGAAAGAAGTATAACTATGTATGTGGACGAGAAAATGGAAACTTGGGAGGAGAGAAGGGATGTGGAAGCATTTTAATTCTTAAGCATCAACATGTTAATTAATACCAATATATGACTGTATTTCAAGTACGCCTTAAAATTTTAAGAAATAATTTTCACGCTTACTTTTTCACTTTATACAGATTTCTCTAATTTTGTAATAAATATTAGTGAGCAAGATGCGTGTATTGATAGTCGGGAAAGATGGTTTATTCCTCCCTTGGTATGTGAAATCTACAGATCCAGAGTTTGCCAGTCTAACGGAATGAGAGATTTTTCAGTGTGATCGTTACATAGGGTGGTACACCACGTATCCTTATATAAATGGTGGATTATATGTGTTAAAAGGTTAATAATTTAAAAATTTAAATTTTCCACCACTTTCATAAAAACACGTGATGTATTATTCGTATTCCCATCACAACTAAAAATTTCTCCAGCAAAAGGGCAACCTCAACGGTCAAAATTAACAAATGTGTTGAAGTCGCTACCCAAAAGTTTTCGATACAAAAATCTTTCCCACGATAAAAGATTGAAAATCAAATATTAATTTCCAAGCCGCCCACCCCCACCAAAATGTCAATTACTAGGCCCCATCCAATTTTTATTTTTCTTAAAGCAAGCCAACGTCATAAAAATTAAGAAAAAAACATAAAAAATAAAACTATTTAATAGCAAATGCCCTTCACCTACCAAGAAATCGAATTTCCATAGAAATTAAAAAATCTCAATAAATACGAAAAATAATAAAAAAGGGAAATTCAAAACGACGCATGGTAAGAATGAGGATCTTCTTCTGATCCTCTTTGTAAGAATTATGAAGATTCTTAAATCATATTCGTTTATCGTACATCGTGCCATTAGAAATTATTTTAAATTAAATATAAATAATTCTTAACGAAAACTAATCGTAGAATATAAAAAAAATAGAATATAGAATATTCGAGATTCCAAAATTTCGGAAAAATACCGATTCCGCTGTATTTATTATATTTATTGAGATTTTAATTTTTCATTTCCGTTTACATACACACACTGCGCTCCTCGTCAACCTAAAATCTCGATCCGTCGACGGACTCCTCGAGGCCTTCCTTCCTTCTCCCTCTCTCTCTCTCTCTGCATCTCGCTCTTAGACTCCATTTCTAAGCATCGAAAATGCAGAGCGCTACCTTCACTCTCACGCCGTCCCTCCGCCTACCGAAGACTCGGAGGCCGTCGGCGAGCCCCGCCGTGAACTCTAGGTTCGATCCGATACGCGTTTCGGCCTCCTCGAAGCCGCACAATTTCAATGATGCGCTCTCCGCTTCTCTGCCGCGCCGATCCTGGACTCTGTCATCGTCTTCCTCTGATTTCAAGCTCAGGCCGTGGACGTCCGTGCCGTTAGTCGATTCCGATGCCGGAACGAAGCGTTTTGAGGTTCGGGCCACTGCGGAGACCGCCGAAGAGAGCACTGAATCTGGAAGCAGCTTGTTCAAAACGCTTGAGCTCGGGGCGTTGTTTGGCCTCTGGTTCCTCTTCAACATCTGGTTCAATATCTACAACAAGCAGGTAGTTTTTGCGTATTTTGCTTCTGCTTCTACTTATTGGATTTCTTGTGTTCTTAATTGCTAAATGAGTGATTGCTGTGAGTTTGTCTGCTTTTAGTGAAAATGCATTGTTAGAATCCTTTAGTTCTTTTGGGTAGATTCTGTTTGGTTTGGCGGAATTTACCTTACAGGAAGTCTGCTCGAATTTATTTTTTGAATATGAAAAGGTTGGAAAACGCTTTTGAGGTAGCTTTTACAATGGTTAAAAGCGTTTTTGATGAAAAATGTTTTTAGAACCAATCATTACTCCTTAGTAAAATGCAAGTGAATCTTAAAAAAAACACTTTATTCATGCATCAATCACTTTCAAAGTAGAGTGCTTTTACAATTTTTTTTTTTTCTTTCTAAAAGCGTTTTCAGTCATTTTAAAAAGTAGTTCTAAACAAACCCCGTAAAATATGCATTTTATTCATTAACTGAATAGAAGGAGATGTAATTTTAAGGTGATAAAAAGGGAATGTAAAGCTTCATGCAATCTACTCCAATTCAATAAAAATTTGAACAGTCCGAAATATAAGGATCGAGATAGGAGTACATTATGTTTGATTACATGCAATTTAGGGAGTATTTGATTAAGGAAACTTCTCTTTACAGGTCTTGAAGGTGTTCCCATACCCAGTAACTGTCACTGGAATACAATTTGCTGTTGGGACTGTGCTTGTTCTGCTTATGTGGGGTTTGAATCTGTACAAGAAACCGAGAGTTAGTGGTGCACAGGTACATACTAGTTTGATTAAGTTGAGGGTCAGATATATGGGTTATTGATTTCCATTTAAGTGATTCTTATTTTAAGCAACTTGTCAACAGCTCGCAGCAATTCTTCCACTGGCGATTGTGCATACTTTGGGTAACCTTTTTACTAATATGAGTCTTGGGAAAGTGGCTGTCTCGTTTACTCACACGATCAAAGCTAGTGAACCCTTTTTCTCAGTTATCCTCTCAGCCATGTTTCTCGGGGAGGTAAGGATTTTCATATAGTTTTGCCCCTTTATCTGTCTATATGCTATTTTAAAATTCTTTATTGTGCGTACGTTGACTGCAGTTTTTAGTTTAGTGCAAATGATAAATTCAAAACTTGTTTGAATTCAGAAGACTATGTATCCAATTGTAGGATTTTATGGCTTCTATTTTTTAATTGATTCCCAATTTTTTTGCCCAATATATCTTATATGTCTTGATGCTTATATAGATACCCACTCCATGGGTGGTTGCTTCATTGATACCAATCGTTGGTGGAGTGGGACTGGCATCAATTACTGAGGTCTCGTTTAATTGGTAAGAAATCACGGTAAATTCAAAATAATGCCGAAAACAGAGACAAAGAGTCACAACATCTAGATTTGATTGATGATTGATCAATCAAGAATTTTGTGCATGCATTAATGTTTATTTGATATAATCATCGTTTTGTTTGTGAAAAGGGCTGGATTTTGGAGTGCTATGGCTTCCAACTTGACAAACCAATCTCGTAACGTCCTTAGCAAAAAGGTCATGGTTAAGAAAGAGGTAATATATGTTTTCCATATTTTATGTCAGAAGTACTATTGTGTTGGTTATTGTTGTAGTGGTAGTGAGGTGGTAATTTCTGATTGGTAAGAAAATGAACTGAAAAGAAATGTCCTCCAGATCACATAGTGGCCAAGGAATGCACGGTTACTCACCCTTGGATTTGATATCAATGGTGAAAAATAAATGGACATGCTTTTAATGTTTTAATCCCATTTCTTGATATCAAATCCAAGGGTGGGTGACCATGAATCAGGTCACCTGAGAACCGGACTCATGGACTGAATAGATACACATGTTTACTTCTTCTATGTTTCTTATTTGTCTTTGATGGCATTCGTAACCAGCAGTTTGTTTTGAGCAGGCAAATATGGACAACATTACACTCTTCTCAATTATAACAGTCATGTCCTTTTTCTTGTTAACTCCTGTGGGTATCTTCATGGAAGGGGTGAAATTTACTCCAGCAGTCCTGCAATCTGCTGTGAGTATCTTTTTACAAGCTAAAGCTTGCATTGCGACAGAGTCATTGTAGATTATACTCGAAACTGATTAACTCTTTCTCTCCAATTACAGGGTCTGAATGTAAAACAATTATATATTAGGTCTTTCATTGCTGCACTCTGCTTCCACGCGTATCAGCAGGTTAGACTTTATCTGGTTGTGTGGTTTAATATCCCTTTCGTTTATTTATCGATTTTTCTGGGCTTCTCATGAGCTTTTGTTTAGAGCATTGAGTTAATTGTTGATGTTCAACATACTTGTCCTTAAGTACTGAAAAAGTATTTTTAGGTAACAGAAAGTCACATATAAAATATCGTTTAATAGTATGTGCAATACTTTCAATCTCTTGTCAAGTCAAATTAACCAGAAAATTCTTCTTAGCTTGTTCATGCCCCAAACTTAACTGCTCACCTTTTGTGTTTTCTTCAATGATTGTTTATGAACTTTCTTGAAATCCTGTCATGATCGTGCTCGTGCTGACTTCAAATTTTAATTTTGATTTTGTTTTTCCCTTTTGTGGGTTCTAAAACTGGGAATCGGATGGGGTTGAGGAGCCACCTTAGGATAAAATAAATTTGTACTCTGCATTAAAAAAGAGTAAAATTACTAAATCAGATCGAAAAATTTCAGTGTGCAAAATATGTGAGGAATAGTTAGAACTTAGAAGTGTATTAACTGTATTTGGAACCTTCCTGTTTGATGCTCGATTTTCCTAAACATAGGGGTGCTTCCTCTTGTTTTCTGCAGCTTACTCGTGTAAATTGCTGACCATTGGTGAACAATGCAGGTTTCGTACATGATATTGCAGAGGGTATCACCTGTTACTCATTCTGTGGGTAATTGCGTGAAGCGTGTGGTGGTTATTGTGAGCTCTGTTCTCTTCTTCAGGACACCCGTTTCACCTATTAACGCTCTCGGTAATATTACTTGTCCTGCTTGATTTTCATTTCCCAAGGATGTAAAAATTGATTCTGTATGCTGGATACTGACTTTAGTTACAAGAAACGTTTCTTGATACGAAAGTATATATAATCTTGTTTCAATGTAATGCAGGCACCGGAGTGGCGCTTGCCGGAGTTTTCCTATATTCAAGGGTGAAGCGTATTAAATCCAAGCCGAAGAGCGCTTGAAGTAGCGCAATGAGATTTTGCTCTTTGCTGATGGAGTTGGATGAAAAATTGCAGTTTAATTGTAGGTCAGGCAGGGGAACCTAATTAGTGGTCGGGCTCTTAATATTTTCATGTTGCTTTTTTCTTGTATTTTTGTTTTTGTTTTAGAATTTCATATTTTTCTGGACCACATGATGTGACGAGAAGTAGCATATCCTCCGTTCTTCTCGTTTCAAGTTGTAATCGAATTTTTCAAGGGGTTCACCATTTGGGTGTAGAACGTAACCCCGAAAAAGGATTAACCATTGAAGAAGGTGATGGTGATTGTAGGACAACAGTAAGTATATGTATACATGTTTTGTGACAATGTGACCGTCACACTTGAAAGACGATCTCTTGAAATAGCTTTCCTTTTTCCAAATGCAACTCATCATCGGTATACAAAGTTTGTTTCACAATCGGATACGATTGATTGAATATTTCATTGCACATTTGGTCAAAAATTCTAAGATCGAAACTTGTGTCAGTCGTAAAAATTGGATTTTGATACCATCCGGATTCAAATTTTAAGGATTTTAGGGATTTTTACATCTTAGTCATTCATTGTATATCATGCAGTTAGAAATCATTTTGAAATTTTTATTTAAAATTAAACATAAATAATATCTAACGAAAATTGACCGTTATAATATACGATGAACGATTAGAATATAAAAATTCTTAAGATCTGCATAAAAAGATCCGGATCCTCATCCATACAAATCAATGTGGGTTGGAATACGTCAAATTATCGATCGCCAAATAACTGTCGGACTTGGGCAACACAAATCAATGTGCATTGGGATTATGTGACCTAATCATGCTTGCACGTCACGGCATGCCTAGGTCGGCACAATGTTCAAGTTGGTCTAAAACAACTATAACACTTTAAAACCCTAATTAATTAATAAGTAAAAGCATTATTAGCAGCTGGAAGAACACGTAGGTGATACATTCAAAACCCTTTACACATACTGGTGTTTTAAAAAACACGTCCCGAGACGCGCCTAGGTGGTTTCAAAGGCGGGGCGACCATGAAATCGCCTATACCCAGTGAAGGTAGGCGTGGTTGAGGCGCGTCTAAAGTTTTTGACTGACATCCTTTTTTCTTTTAGTTGTAGAAATCTGGATTTTTTTTATTTTAAAACTTAAACTGAGTCCACTTTGCTGACATTTATTACCCTACTATCTTTCTTTCTGTTTACTTTTTATTTTTTGTCTCATATACAAGATAGATAGATAGATAAGCATCTCTTTACTTGTGCACTTTTGAATGATAATGAATGTTTGTTTTACAAAGTATTATATATTTTTTTAGATGTTTTATATAATATATTAACAAATTTAGGTTTCGTGCACATGTCAAAATTTTTGCCTAGGCGGGGTTTATACATGAAACACATCACTCATGCCTTCGCCTTTTAAAATATTGACGCATACATAAGCTATCAGCAAGAGTACATATATTATGAATAAACTCAAATATCCATTATTCATTAATCGTAAACCATATATTAAGCTCTGTATTATGTTATTGTAATAGAACTGTGTAATCATGATATGTCCCTTTCTCTCTATCTCTCATCATGCGATGAGAAAAACGGAAATATACTTACTGTTACATTCAAAATTTTACCCTACTACACTTCCCTGATAACTAAAACTCGATCGACTTCAAAGCCGATTGCATCCCTCTCTCTTTCTTCAAAATTTATATTAAATATATAAAACTCTATGAAACTTCAGCTTAATTAGTTCACTTGAGAAATCATCTCCACCAAATCCATCTCCTTCTTCACTTCATTACTCTCCAAATCCACTTGCATCTCCATCTCAAAATCCTTCTCATCAAAATTACCCTTATCAACATGACCATAATCAATCTTATTTTTACCATCAAAGTTACTGTTCTTCTCACCAACAGCAGCAGCGCAAGGGATGTCATCGAGCAGAGAATCGATGCTACACCCTTCCTCGAAGATGTTCTCGTCGAAACAAAAATCGGGGTCCTCATTGAAATAGTTGTAGCTCGGAACCAACTGATCGTTTGCGCACAAAAGTCCCACGTTGGTTTGTGGCTGCTGATACGTAGCTGCAGCTGCTTTGGTGCTGGTGCCGCCACCGTTGTTGTTGCTAGCTGAACTGTTCTTTCGCTGCCTCCCTGTGCTGTTGCTTGCCGAGTCTAGGTTTAAGTTCTTGATGTATTCCTGCAAAATGGAGCCCCTAGGGTGCTTTGATCGACATTTTCGCTTGGAATATTGTCGCCTTTTCGTTGCATTCCAATGGTTTTTGATGGAGTTTTCAGTCCTTCCGGGCAGTCTCTTTGCAATTTCTGCCCACTTGTTTCCTATATCTGCATGAGCTTGTATCAGTGTCTTGTCCTCCTCCTCACTCCATGTATCCTTCTGCAAAACAAATAAAACCATTTGCATCACTTCTTATTGTATCAGATTTGTACCACGACGTTACTACGCCACTAACTATTAGTAATGTCACACTACACAACCATACATGAATGTACACATGATTCATGTAGCATTACTCGTCAAGTGAATTGCAAACCCAAAAGCAATATTCACGTAATTAGCATGTCTAGTTTTATAATGATCATTCATGTTTGGGATCGCTTCTCTATAGAACACTTGTGCTCATTAGTGCTTTTCCTCAAAGTACAAATACTTCATAAAAACACACTTGGAAGTGATTCCGGGGTAGGTACTTCTCGATCTTATGACACATAAGCACTTCTAAATTTTCAGCAAACATAATCTAAAGTACTTTTGGCTGTTATAAAGCGTTTTTCGCTCTTCCAGAAACAATCCCAAACCATCATAAGTCGGTCAATTATCGAATACCTTGATGTCAGGCCTTAGGTGGTTATGCCATCTCTCCCTACATTGCTTCCCAATTCTCCCAGGCAACATCTGAGCAATGTGAGACCATTTCCTGACTCCAAATTGCTCAACAAGTTGAATTAAGAGCCTGTTTAACACAAATTTGACATCATTAGAGACCTTAAACAACCCAAAATGCAGTTTTAAGTTTTATTTCTTTCAGTTTTTACTTTTTTTGTTGGTGAAATCTTTCAGTTTTTACCTATCTTCCTCGGTTGTCCATTGACCCTTGACCACATTTGACTTCTTTCGACCTTTCACCGTTGACCCCCTTGTTACTCCGGTAACTTCGCTTTTACCATTCATCCCAAATTTTCTGTAGTACCCAGTTTGGTCTGCATTGTTTATGCAGGAGACCTCATCCGGCATCGAAAAATTCATGGGTTTAATATCTTGAGTGCAATCCAACGGCAGGAAATCAGTTGCTCTCCTATGAGATGAAGTTCCCACCACATGATCAAACGGATTTGATGATCTGTGATGAGTTGGGAAATTCAAGTAGGACCCACCTTGGAAGTTGTCCAGAACTTGGCCATGTACCCCATTGTTTTCTGCAACATTTAGAGGCTTACATTCGTAAAAGTTCACATCTTGATGTGATGAATTTTGATCGTACGGGTAGGATGTGTCGCTGTACGGATCAAAACATGGGGTGTGGGTCCCAAACATAGGGTTTGAAGAGGAAACATTGACATGAAATTGATGATCAAGGTAGTGAAAATCTTGAAGGTAATTGTAGCTTCTCTTTGAAGGCGAAGATGCTTCAAAGAGAAACTCATCTTTTATAGCGTAAGATTTGACATAGTTTTCCGGTGCGAGCAATGGAACGTGGATTTGGGAGACGAGTTGTTTTTTGAGCTTGTTGAGCTCCATTAGAGATGCTCTAAGCAAAATGCGTTAGGGTTTAGTGGTGAAACAATGGGGCAGCTTCTGTTTTGGGAGCTGTCACCATTGTACTTTTGTTGCTTAATAGGTGAAGGAGGAAATGCATTTATTGTAAGGATAGATCCTAACCGTTGATCTTGCTTCATCCAACGGTCAGGGTTGGTTGCCGTAGCTAAATTTACATACTTTTGCCACAAGTGATTCTTTGTTGGTCTCAAATTTTGGGTCCTATAAATTTCTCTTTAATTTGTTGTTATCCCGACTGTAATTAAATCTATTAACTAAAGTCTTAAGTATTGTAATGGCGTTATGTAAGGTTTATTCAGTCGGAAATGATTTTGGCACCCCGTTTTCTCATCTTAAACACTACCTTAATGGAGAATTAATGAACAAAATTAACCAGGGTGTGCAGAAGCAAAAAATTGTTATGTGAATTTCATTTTCCTTGTTTATGGCTTGTTTGGAAGTGCTTTTAAAATGACTGAAATCGTTTTTGGTGAATTGTTTTTGGGTTCCAAAAGCACTTGAGTGCTTCCTACAAGAAGCACCAGTTTAGGTGTTTTTCTATGATTCACTTGCATTTTTACTAAGGATTGGCTTTAAAAGCACTCTAATTGAAAGTGTTTTTCATCATTTTAAAAGCACTTTTCAAATGAGCCTTTATTTTGTTCCTATCTTTTGGTTTATGGTCAAAGAAAGTAAAAGTCAATTAGGACAAACTTGAGAGTAAAAATCGGTTTTACTCTAATCAATGAAGTTAATTTAGTAAAAGTCGTTAAGAAAGACTTCACTATCAGAAGCTGTCAAATTTATTAGAGACTTAATCGCCACTGTTAATTGCAATGGTTTGCATAACGCCAAGCATTTTTATTGCCTCTTTGCTTAACTGTTGTTCCTTAAATTTAAAATTAGGAATGTCACACTTAATAAAAGATATAAAAGAGCTGGGAAATACCCTTTTGCGCTCCCGTTTTCTCTTTCTGCATTCTTCCCCTTTGTTCTAAGCCTCTTGAACTGAATAAATCAAAGGAGAATCAAGCGCTTAGAACAAAAGAGCATAATGCAGGGAAGAAAAATGGAGCGAGAGAATTATTTCCCTAAGAGCATTTACGTTGCACCCGAGGTCCTCTGTTCGGATCCATCATCCCCAATATCGCTCGTACCAAAGACAAAATGCCAAGCAACCCACAACTCAATCTCCGAATACAAAATAGATTTCACTCTTACAATCTTGAATGAACAAGAAATACATACTAATCAAGCAGATAGGGAAAAAAAGAATGACACTTCTCTATGTCATGTCTCCAAAGGAAGCGAAGTGTTTCGGAGGGGAAGAAAGTTTCAAGTTGCCAAAATAGCATTTGACTCTGAAAAATTGTAAACTTGAAGCAATCGAAAATTTTAGTTATATGCATCGTTGCTGGAAAGCTTTCTCGGGGTTCTTCCCGTCAATTTCTGAGTGGTGAGGGAAATCATAAGGCATTTCCGCGGCAGAAAACCATGCTTCGGTGAAAACTTTGACGACTTCTTGGTGGACAACAGCATTGCCTTCTGGTGTTAGGTGTAACCCGTCACTGCAACGGAAGAAAAATGGATTAAGACAGATTATTCAATCTCTCACACCGTCAAACACTTCAAAGATGTAAAAAATTAAGTAGTTCTAGGACTAAATTAGAGTATATTTATCTTCATATAACTTCGATCCCCATTCTAACAATCACAAAATTCATTTAGATGATCTTGATCTGACTATTATGGCAGAATCCAAGGCATTAATCAGTAAATAGTGCTTCTTTTGCAAGGGAAGATCTGGTTGCAACCACTTGATGCTAAATTGTTTCATAAACTGTACAAGTTGAGGCTTCAAAGATGGCAAACCTTAGAAATTTCTTCTGCCAACCCTCTGTTTCCTGCAATGTGGACCAAAGATTGATGGAGCGGAGACCCATTTCTTCAGCTAGCTCAATGCACTTCTTTGCATAAACTCCTGTCACTTCATTCGTCCTTTCTGGAAGTTCCCTAGCATCCTTACCATATAAAGATCTGTGAAACCCAATTACACAATCAAAATGTTATAGGTACCGATCACATGAACATTGCGAAGAGCAAAGAAGACAATTATGTTTGTGTAGTAAATTTTGAAACTAAGAAGAATAAATCATACTGTGCATATTCATTACGCCCATCCTCGTCAACAGGTGGTGGAGTAATAAGCACAATCAAAATGGTGGGGGAACACTCCTGCAATCAAAACCCCGACATGAGCCTGATGCTTGCAATGGTAGAAGTTGGGTAATCAACCTTATACCATTGGTAGTTATAGCTCCTTTGGTCCTTCCAAAAGTAAATTACCCACGATGTCGATCTTATACAAGTTTAAAATAGCATCTATCAGACAATAAGGATGAAGACTGAATTGGAAAAACTAAAATATTCATAAGAAAGGTAAACAAATTTGAACCTTCAGATGAAGAACAATTTTTCTGAGATTCTCCTTGTACTCTTCAAGAGGAACATGTTGCCGCTCACTTGTTCTGCCTAAAATAGCCGCGTCATTGGCCCCAAAGAAAATTGTGGCAGCAGCAGGAGGTTTATCAGAATCCTGCACATTCACATTGGGATACGGTCACTTCCTTAAACGTTTCCACATCAATCCAATCCTATCCTTTTATCACATATCACGGCCATCACTTCTACGATTTTCGCAAACACTTCCAAAATCATCATTTTTTCCCACAGTCATATGCATACTATCACATATCCAATCTAACATCTTAACAAGACAACTTGATTCATCAGCAATACTATCAAATACTAGCAAACAAAGACATTGACTTTCTGAAATCAAATGCACAATGAGAAATGTAAATCAATACGAGCAAGAATCGAACAAAAACCAAATTTAATTAACAAAAAACTAAATAGAATAAAACCCTATAAATGCAATTCCAATGCCAACAAACCAGAAAAGCTTTTACCTTTGAAAAGGATGCAGTAAAAATTGCAGAGAATGCAGAAAAGAATTTACCAGAGGAAAGAGGTGCTGCAGCAAGAACAATGCCCACCTCGTGTTGTACCCGCCATACCCACGAACTTTTACATCGGCCTATCAAACCCCATCACCAAAAATTACCAACATTTACTGATCCACCATAACAGTTAGAGAGAGAGAGAGAGAGAGAGAGAGAGAGACCTTGCGGGAGTAAGAATCAGCTAGAGCGGCGCCCCAGCCACCCGATTGGAAGGATTGTTCGGTGATTGAGTCTCCGAACAACACGATCTCAGGCCTCATCGTTCTTGCTTCTTCTTCCTCCCTGCTCCTACGCTTTTTACTGTTGACTCGTTCGGTTGACGGTTGAGACTCGTGTTTTCGTACGTAAAACGACAACTCGTTTCTTAACACGGACCAAATAAAAGCATTGTTCTTTGTAGATTTGGCATCTTGGACGGTCTATGGCTTTATTAGTCATTTTCCATACAAGAATATACCAATGTGCTGCACCAACAGAAGTGATGTAGGAGAAGAAAAAAGAAAATGATACTTAGTACTACGGTTAAATGGTATTCCTCTTTATTCGTAAATGAGAGGTTTTAGGTTCGATTCTCGTCAAAAGCGAATTTGAACCATATTATTTCTAGTTCATTGTAATCATCAATTCAATCTTTAATCAAACAATCGTCTGAAATTTCTTAAGGTACTAATTAAATTTCTAATACCGCTCTATCTCTTTCATGTTTTTCATAATCTACTAGCCTCTTACCCCATGTTAAGAATGAATGTCGAGTGGGTTGATTATTATTGCACACGAGTGATGTGATTGATTTCACATTCCCGTAATAACATTCTTGAGGTACTTAAAGTGATGAAAGAAGGTGAGGTAACGAATTAGGACTAGAATATGTTTGAATTCTCTTCAATGTGATAAAGAAAAAAAACAACATGCACACGAGATTTTTTGTTCGAATCAGGTGCTTACACATTGAAAGTGTCACTAGTTTTACATTAGCTTTGAGTGGCTGTAAAGTGACCCTTAAACAAAGGTGACATCTTCATGCGAAACTTTAGTTAGGTATGAATGCTGGGTTGCTGGGTCCCCAAAAGTGGGTTAAAAATCTTATTCCGTACCATAAAACTGAGAGGAAGATAAGCATACAAAACTAAAAGGCCACTTGGGGAGATACTCCAAACCATTTCCAGTGGAGAGTAAGCATGCAATATTCCACCATTTAAGAGAAATCCTAGATCATCATCATCCGCCGAGTATTTATGCAATCTGTTTCTCATCGCCATCAAATATCAATCAAAGGTTTGGAGTGGTACATGATAAGAATAGAAGCGGATTCCGAGAGTATTCAGTTCAATCCTAGGCACCAAACGAGCGGTTCAAGTCTCAAGTATTCAGACAGACGATGCCTAAGTTTTGCGGTAAGGATTGGTGAATACAACGGATTCAGTGTTTTTTACTTCGGAAAACTGAAAACCAAATGATTGAAAGAAGACGCTGCTATGAACTTTCGGAAATATTGAGATAGACTGCACAGTTCGCATTTAGTTTGAATGAGAAAATTATTACAGCTCCTGCATTATTGTAATCATCTTCTCTGCCCACCAGCTAATCGAGAGACAAGAACAATGATAAACATCGTACATTATCACGAAAAGTTAGAAACACACCGAAAAAGATGACACTTCGTACACATATACTTAGTACATAACCTCTCGAGACCATTGCCAAGAATAATCTCACCAGAGTCGCAATTTTAGCTTGAAGAACCATGAAAGCTTCGTCCAGAAGCCTGTGTTGTTTCAAGTCCTGACCGCTCAGTAGGGGGGCTTCTTTCTCCTCTCAGTCCATTTAAACGGGGGCTGAACACTAACTGTGACATCCGCGGGCTACCTTCTGGAGGAGTAGGGGTCAAACTTGATGTTTTTGGACTGTGAGTGTGGCGGATCTCACCACGGCTTCTTGTGATAATTTCGTCAAGCATCTCCCCACCGTCAATGTTAGTGGTTCTTGATTGAAGATCTAGATCCTGTCATGCATAGAAAACATCAGCATCGGCACAAGAATTTCTAAAAGATAAGCTAATGAAGGCTTTCTATAAGCACTTTAATAGGATAGAATCCGAATAGCACAAGTTCCAATCTGATCCAAACTTTGGATTTATACACCCTTCTGATCGAAACTCAAGGTCCAACTCTGGTTTATTTTCATGATATATAGAATTCAAGATGTTCACAATTTTTTCATGTATGAACTGAATGAAAGGATTTAGATAACTCACTTCAAGGGACAGGTTGAGAGTGATGGAAGGGGCTTCCTCATATTCTGCAGCATCCAGGTCTTGAAGGTGAGCTATTTTGAAAAACTTGGGGAGAAAATACTGCCGCACCGGGACTAGAAGCATGATCAACAATGGGAATAGCACCCCAGCGATCGGGATCCATGTTAAGCCAAAACACAAAAGCAAGTAAGCCGTCTGGAACATTGTGAAGGCCACAATTGTTTTGAAAGGCACAGTCTCAAGAAAGGTTTCATGATTCTTCTCCAGCACCCTAGCAAGATGGATGATGGTTACCATTTGACGATTTTTCAAAGATAATACTAGTCATGATCTAGATAAAGAAAAACGGTAATATTTAAGTCTGAGGAAGTTAAATTTTAAGATTCTAAAACATCTTTCCACGCACTCGTATCTAGAAATTCTGAAGCAAACCATGTGGTATAATTTCCAATGTGCAATATGCGGAAGAGTATTTAGTGAAAGAATCATTGTTACATTACAAGGGAAAGTACCAACTTACTTGTATCTTCGACTTGGAGCAGTGAAAAGAAACAATATCCTCTCCCAAAATTGATTTCCAGGCAAGCTTTCAATCGCCATGAAAGCAAAATAACCCCAAAGAACTGATGTTGGGATTTTCTTCAAAACAGGCATAGCAGCAACACAACAACCAGCCATCAATGATTGAAGCAGATTGCTAAGACGTTGCTCTTTTACTTCAATGGGCAGAAGATCGTCAATATCCTTCTCCACATCAAAAAGAGTCTCATCAACAGGGGCATCAATGTAGCCAGCACTAGAGGCCAATTGGACTGTGGATTCCTTCAGCTCTTTTAGTCCCTGTTCGAATGACAGATTTTAAAGCAGAAGGATAAAAGATATAAACTTTTGTATCAATCATGAATAATGTAGTAGATAGATTTACCAAAGCAGATGGAAGTTGGTAGGCTAGTGGAGTCTGCATTCCGTTGTATGTATCTTTCATGCTTTGGTATAAATCACTCAAACTTGAATTTTTGCGAATACTATTTCGAGCTGTTGATGCAAGCTTATTCCGCAAAAGCTATTCCACAGAAAAGAACCAATCCACTCTATTAATTAACATATTCAACATCACAATAAAGTATTCACTATTGCATAAACACACTCAAAAGGGAAGCGGAAGAATGACTGAGAGATGTCCTCTCAGCAAGAATCAATAGTAGCAGCGTGAGAAACAAGTATCAAGAGTCCTAATATCCATATATTGACCCATCAAATGTCTCCAAAAGACACTAATTCACGCAAGCTCGTATGCTTATCAAAATCTTGTGAGCAAACAATTCCATTATTTAAAAGACAAGCTAACTCTCACTATGCAGAAAACTAAACTACCTGATGTTTTAGAGTAGCTAAGCTTTTTGTATGCATAGGAGATTGTGGGATTACTCCATTGGAAGGGGGAATGCCAATAAGCCCACATAACATGACCTGGAAGCAAATAATCAGAATTTAAAGGAGAACTTTCAAGATATATGAGTAGGTAAAATCTCTATCTCAATTTAGCTGGTCTGGAAGCAGCTTACCAGAAAACCCAGAAGAAGAAGGTCATAATGATATGAAGCCGGTTTCTTTAGATTAAATTCCTTCTGTTGGGCAAGTTGAGATGCAACACTGTGATCAAAGTAGTAGAGCACAGCGATCATAGTTGCTGGTATAAATGCTCCAACTATATATAATGGAGGTACATTCATCATCTCCTGCACAATTAAACAACACGAGTAGGTAGCTGGGATTTAAAGGAAAGAAAGCACAAATTTGGCAACATCCAGTTAGATGTAAGGCTTAGATGTCATGGAAGTGTTTTACAAAGTGTTCGGGAAATAATCTCTACAATCTCACCTTGATAACTGTCCAGTTTGAGTATGCACCAGGAGACCATGGGTTTGGACTGAACAGTCGTCTTGGGATTCCTCTAGGGACATCATTTACTGGTATGTAAGAAACAGCAGTCCAAACAAGCACCATAAATGGAACTCCATAATCCGTAATTAATCCCCGTAGCCAACCTATAACATTTGCCAGACAGGAATGTTTCTAAGATATATAGTTGACATAGTAGACGTACAAAACTGACCATTCTCAGAGATTCAATTAAACCTTTCATAAGAGAAATAGAGATGCATTATAAATGAACATGATTTAAACTTTCAACTTCTTACTAAAGCTCAAAAGCAAATTCCACGTACCTGTTCCATAACGCCAGGATCTAGCTTTACGGCTTCTCAAAGCAGTTAAAAGCAGGCCAAATGACAGAACTAGTGCAAACATTCCATTGCCAAACCGCCAAGAAGGTTGGAGTGCAGTCTGATTAAGATTTTCCCTCTCGGGTATGCCAAATTCCTCCACAAGTCCCTGTAGAATGGTTTCATAAGTTGAATTCAAAATGAAGAGAACAGTTCTAGAGCATAGAAGTATAGAGATCCTGGAAATATAATCTTTTTGTTCCCGAAAATAACACCACCCCAGAAATTATTGAATTGAGATATCCTTTTGGAATTCATGTATAATTAAATCTCAAAAGGTTTAAAACTCTAGTATACAACATTAAAATTGATAAATTAATAGTAAAGGATTATAAAGAAAACTCACCCTTATGGCCTGCTGCATAAAAAGCATTGCAATTAGCAGACCAAACAATTCACCAGCAACACGCGTAAACCTATTTATAATAGAGCACGCACCCAGAACCGCCAGCAAGAATAGCAAAAGGGCTGTCCACATACATACCCTAGATACCCATACCATGGGAAAAAAATGTTCAGTTTCATCAGAAAATCAATTGCTTTGTAATGTTAAGATTTCCAGAGTGTTCTAGAGAGATACCATCCAGTCCAGGCTAAGAAGAGTTCCTGCCCCAAATCCTTCCGGTCCTTAGCAAAGTTGAACATAAATGTATACATCAATACCGTTGGCTCAGCCACCCCTAGTATAAGCAGGGGCTGTCCTCCAACAATTGAGTGGATAATGCCACAAAGTGATGTGGATGCAAGAGTCTGTACTGCAGTCAAGCTTCCATCTGTAAAGATACATAAATACAGCACTTTTCAGAAAATTAACTCCAGAAGAAAAATTCTAAAAGGACACGACAGTCAAAAGGGAAGGTAAAATAAAAAGGTATTGTTCAACTTGTATTTCTTTCGAGCTGTTCCCCAAAGGAGATAACTGGAATTGCTGAAGCAAAGAATATATATGTTGTTGGCGCCAAGATCCTACACAAAAGAAGATAATGGTCATAATAACTTGAGTAAGGTACAATACAGAAGTGCCAATATGAAATATTGTTTGGACAAAAAGCTTCCTAAGCTGAGATGCTTATCAGATGATTTTCATTAGAAACATAAAAGTATCCTGTTTTTGTGATATAAAAATGAGAAATACGACGTTCACGAACCTGATTCCCGCGCGTAAGCCACCAGTCCAATCCTGTTTGTAGCACAGAAGTCTCCCCTTGAGGTCATTCTTTATCCCGCGAAAGGGAACAAATGTTTCTTCCATAATATGTCCAATACTTTGGAAACAAGAAGAAAATGGAAACTTTTCTAGTTCTTGTTTGAGTGACAAGAAAGCAGGCCGTTAAAGTTCAGATCCAAACAAGGGACTCGAGAGGCCAATATGGTTTCTAAGTTTGCTTTAGGGTATAAATAAAACGTACGATGTTACGGGCAGACAGAGAAAGATTTCTTGACCATCATAGAGCTTTGAAGGTCAAAAACAAGCGGGAAAGAAAAGTGTTGAGTCATTGGATTTTTGCAGTATGAGAGACCCTTAATGAGGTCTATATATGAATGAACAGATATTGGAAGTGTGAAATTTACATTTCAAGGAATCAATAAAGAATGTGGTATATATTTCTATGAGGAACAAAAGAACCAGTTGGCAAATTGAGCTACTTAGATTCCATATCTTGCACGAGCCAAGGATAAGCGAATCAAATTCACTGTGAATCGATCAGGAAGTTCGAAAATTAACGAAATGAGCCAGCATTTTCCATGTGCTCAAGTCACACTACTAGCGGTACACTTGGACAAAGCTGAGATCCATCCCTTCTCTTATCAGAAAAGGCAGGTGCATATAAATGCTAAAACACCAGATATTTGGTACAAATTTGCGAGCTTTAACTGGCGAAAATCGCAATCAAGTTTCAGACTTTGAGGGTTTCACAGAAAGAACAGGCAAATTAGCGAAAACCCATCATCATAAACAGCATTTGGAATAGTTTAGAACGATTTTAAGCAAATGGGTACTCACAAAACAAAAGCAAAATGCTTCTTTTTTACGATAGAACAAAACAAAAGACTCAAAATTTTGAAAAAAAAACTGGACAAAGGAATTCTATGCAGCAAGATTAGCGAAATCCCATGACTGAAATTACAGATAATTTAGAACCCTTTTGAGCAAATGGGCAACCAAATAGCGAATATAAAAAAGAAGAAAACTTTACTCGAGATTACATTATTCAAGAAAAACCCTTTGCCTTTTGGGAGTGGAGCAAAAAAAGCACAGAAAATTCAGAACTCACAGACGATGTGTAAGCTTGCAGCTACATCACCTGGGAAGTAGCAGAGTTTTCTGAATAAAAATGGCAGAAAGGCGCAGAGAGAGTGAGACACCAATGTGCTCAGAACAGTAGCTACTGATTTCTGAGGGAGTAAATGGCAAATGCGAGAGAATTAGAAGGGATTTTCGTAAAAAAAAAACTCTGGAGTGAAAGGATTTTCGCTTGAGTGAGACAGTGCTAGGTGACTAGAAATGTACGACTCTCGCTCTCTTAGCATTGGATTATATACAGACTACATGATGAGCTGAGAGAGAGAGTGGGAAATGCAATAAAAAATAAATTCGTTCTTCAATGGTAAAATAACAGTAATTGAACGGTATTAAAAATATTTGCAACACTGTTATGTTGCATTGAAGAATAGCTTCTCTTTAAGGGATAAGCTGATCGCTTTGACACGATGGTTCAAAATTTTCATATAAGAAGACTCAAAGACTTTTTAACCAATTCTGATCAACATCGTGTAATTTATACAAACTTGAAGTTCGTCCTCAATTATTGATAACATCTGTGTAATTTCTACTGCATAACAAAATCACTATTGTTTGTGCTTATGTATATCTTTTATGAATGTAGTCGGTATTAGAGTTTTAGCTCTCCTCTTTCACACGGCACTACTGACCACTTACTTGAAGGGAAGCTGAAATTAATTAATTGGCTTAAATATGCGGGTGAGAAGTGGGAGATGGGAACTGGGAAGACAAAAGCAATCATGCAACTGAAAGCTTTCTGCTGCCTGTTGTAAAAAGATCCACTAAAACAGAGAAAATTGAGGAATTATGTTTTAGGCTTCTTCTCCAGAGAATGACAACGCACTGATTTGGACATTTTTCTTCGGTTACACGATCATTTTGATATAGACACTATTTTTCAACGTTTTGTTTGCTTTGAAATGTGTTGGGATTTTTCCTTTTTAATAATTTCTGTCCACTTATAATACATTTTTTTCTTCTTAATTATTTAGAAATTCTGTCACCATTTTTCAACGTTTTGTTTGCTTTGAAATGTGTTGAGATTTTTCCTTTTTAATAATTTCTGTCCACTTATAATACCTTTTTTTTTTCTTCTTAATTATTTAGAAGTTCTGTCACCATTTTTCAACGTTTTGTTTGCTTTGAAATGTGTTGAGATTTTTCCTTTTTAATAATTTCTGTCCACTTATAATACCTTTTTTTTTTCTTAATAATTTAGAAGTTTTGTCGACTTATAATATTTTTCCTTTTTTTTGTCAAAATAATATTTTTCCTTTTTAATATGTTGAGATTTTCATTAATTTGTGGTTATTTTTTATTATAAATTTCGGCAATGACCTTTTCTTCTTTTCTTTTTTTTCAAAAAATAGAACAGAGGCTAATGACCAATCGATTATATGTAGTATGAACGCATGTTTGTATGACTATATACAATGCTTAGCAAACAAAATTAACAATCATATATATCCCACTTTAGGATTCGTTTTCAATCGAAGAGAGACAAGTAAGGTAGTCAGCAAGATTAAGTTTGACACCAAGTCTCCTGGTTTGAGCAACCTCTCGATGTAATCTCTCATATTCTGTTTGAGGATAGTATTACTAGTTAAGTGCAAGACTTTTTTTTTTCTTTTCGATCAGGTTGAAATCCCCGACAAGATTTTTATCGAGATTCATTGTTAGTACTATATTTTCCAGTTGTACGTATTCCCTTTTATTTAATGAATTTTGAACTAAAAAAATAAATTTAAGTATAAACCTCCTTTCTCTCCCGTACTATCTAGAAGATATTGTTTATAGAACAATACTTAGCTACTCAAAGATAAGTAAGAACTCATACTCAAAATTTCTCAAAATTGTTCGTTCTCAACTTATAGAACTTCGTGTTTATAATCAGAATCGTTCATATTACAAATCACCCTATAAAGATTTCCTTTGCAAAAAATGACTTAAAACTAAGGTCGTTTAGTCATCAAACTGTTTAAAAACAAATGAATGGTATTGGTAAAAGCATTATGAATCGTCTATGTATTTGCTACAATATATTGACTAAACGACCTTAGTTTTAATTTATTTTTTGCAGAGATGATATTTACAGTGTGATTCATAGTAGGGCTGGTTTTGATCATAAACACAAAGCTCTGTGATTAAAACACTAAGAGTTTTGAATAAGAGTTCCTACTTATATTTGAGTAGCCAAATATTATTCTTGTTTATATTTTAATCTTCTTTTCAAAGGTAAGAAAAAGTGAGATCAAAGTTGAGCCATTAACAATCAATGTTTAATGATTTACATCAAGCTTTCACTACACAACGGTGAAAGGTTTTTAGTTTCCAAATGTGATAAATGATGAGTTCAATACTAATTTATTCTTTTAATCCTTGAATTATAAATGTATCGTTGTAAACTATTGTTGAATGATGATGTAAAAGAAAAAAAACAAAATAAATATCCAATGATGATGTAGATCAAGATTGAATTGGTATATATTAAAAGTTAAAGAAACATCAATGAATCTAGGTTTTTTTTTTTTTTTTTATGGGAATTAATTCATATAAGTTGAATTGGTATATATATCTGGAAAACAGTAGGTTAAAGTTTTCATGTGAAGAGTTGCAAATTATTCTCGGTGGCCATGCATATAAAGTCCTACGTTTATAAGTAATTGGTTGAATTTGGATATATACTTGGCTACTTGCACTATTTGATTAATTTTAGTTTTAGTAATCAATGATCCTAAAGAATAAAGGAAGCTCTTGAGATCGAACACTACATAAAACATGGCATGAAAGGAACACGGAGAATATAGGAGCTCGTTTGGATATCCTTTTAAAATGATTGAAAGCGCTTTTAGATAAAATATTATTAGGTTTCAGAAGCACTTTAAATGTTTTATACAAAAAGCACCACTTATGTGCTTCTTCTAGGAAGCACTTAGTGCTTTTTCAAGATTTATTAGCATTTTTATTAAAGATTGTTTCCAAAAAGATTTTCACCAAAAACGCTTTCAGTTATTTTAAAAGTACATTCAAACGAACTCTATATTTATATGTTTTAACTACAGTTATTAGTACTGGCCATCACATATATATATATATATATATATATATAGAGAGAGAGAGAGAGAGAGAGAGAGCCTTTAAGAGAAGGGGTCATCATTTTTTTATAAAAATAAGGATTAGTTATGGGTCCACACCACATCGAACTTTAACAAGCTGAACAGTCTATTTTTCAAGTTGTACCTCATAGATCATTCATGCAAAATATTAGCCAAATCGGATATATTTAAAATATCTAATTGGGTTCAAAGAAATGAACGAATACTTTGTTATATAAGAAACAACGAAATTTGATTTTGATAATTAAATAGGCAAATGGTTTCGGATTGAATTGAATTTTTGCAAGGATGATCAATGGATCGAGACTTACAACATAGACTGTTCGGATTGTTGAAATTCGATGTGAAGTGGGCCCCACACGTAATCCCCATTTAAAAAAAAAAAATAGGGATCCCTTTGCATAAATGGCATATATATGTTTCTGACTTTTTAGCGAAATGGCTCTTTACTTTGGTCTCTTCAATGAAAATCAATCGAAGTAATTTTTGAGTTTATTCATTGTAAATCATTCTGGTCATTTCATCTAAAAGTTGTCTGTATCCTCGTTAAATTGTTACGTAAACGACCACGTGACCACTTTTTTTAAGGGTGTTTTTGTCAAATCAACATCTCCACTTAACGAAAATATTGACATATTTTTCATAGAAAGACTAAAACAATTCACGGTTGATAAATTCGTAGACTACTTCTACCGATTTTCATGTCAGTGACAAATGTAAGGAGTTTACGTCAATCTCATGAATCATTTTATAATTATAAAGCCTAAGTTTGTTGATCGATTTAGTGGGCTTTTGATAGTATATTGGAATAATTTATGTTGTTTGTTGATCATTGATCATGAATGGAGTCGGAGTTGGATTTGGTAACTTTACCTAAATATTCCGATTCGATGGGATACGATACCTTATGCACATAGAAAGACATGAAGCAAAGATGTCGAAGTTAAAAAAATGGAGCAGAATATAAGACAAAGATAATTTGATTTTGATTCCGCGTATTTTTTTTCCCGAATAAAAGTGACCTACACCTCAGTAGTTCCTATCTTAGAAGATGCTTTGTGCCGCCCTACGAAATTAGTAGAGCAGATTAACCATGCATGCATGCTTTACTTTACACCTATGAAGACGAGAGATTTTTTAGTGTGTCTGGAATACGAAATAGTACACTACGTGTCATTATACAAGTGGTGAAATATTTGATTTAAAAAATTAATAACTTAAAAAATAAATTTCCTCCACTTATAAAATAATAATAGATGGTGAACCACCCGTGTTTCGAGTACAATAATCATGTTAGTGATTGGTGTAACATAATTTTATGGGGAAATGGATTCAAGACCCCCCATACGCTGTACATACTTACGCGCGGACGCACATATTAAAGATAATGCTGAGAAACCATCTGTTAAACCATATTTTGTAAATCATATGACGTAGTTGTTGACATTGAAATATTACTTACGTGTTGATTAATGTGTTTATATTTTACTAATAATATCTCACCTAATTAAAAACCATATGACGTGATTGTCTACCTAACATTACTCATATTCTAAACATACGCAACTTCATAGTCATGTGACTACATCATCCAACAAATATGATATATTTTTCTAAATTACAAACAAGATAAGTTTTTTTATTTCCTTACAAACAGGATAAGTTGGAGCATTTTATAGTGTCCCTTTACATACACACACACACACACACACACACACATATGTATGTGGATCCTTTAACAAGAGGGATCCCTATTTTTCTAAAAAAATGGGGATACACCTCTTGACCGTTTGATTGGTTTTAATGAAATTGTGCGGTTGAGATTAAATAGCTCATAAAATCTTTTTTATCCTTTTCTTTTTTCTTTTTCTTTTCCCTATTTCCTTTTTCTTTTCTGGTTCTCTCCTCTTCCTTGCGACACAGTCGCACAAGCATCTCCCACGAACAAAGCTTCGCCCTCAGCCAAATCATAGGCTATCACGTCTAACCTTTGAGATTTCAGGTATAGGTCTCCTCCTCATTCATTATTTTGGGTGATTAATTTGGATATTAGGTTGAACAATTGGGATTTATATTTTTCGAATTCTAAATGCAAAAACCTATTTCTGTTCTAA